GCTGTGGATTAAAAAAAAAAACTGAGTTCATAAAAATTTCCTGGGAAAATCTTTGGTTGATTTTTAAATTTCAGACAAAACAACTGAATATTTAATGTCAGGAAGAATACCTAACAGATGAAGTAAATTGCACTGAGATAGGTGAAATGATGCATAAAACATAAAGATCTATGTGAAGCAGTTAACTCGTGTTATTATTTTTAGGCAGAGCACTGGACGGCAGTGCGCGTCTGGTTCGACATCGAGGGCTTTCACTGTGTTTAGAACACAAGGCACATTGTCGTGTTTCCAACCTCCAAGCCTCTTGTTTTTCACGCCTGAAAAAGTAACCTCCCCGCTCCCTGTCAGGGTTATGTAGGCCAGCCTGCTGAGCACGGACAAAAAGGGAGCAGAGAGCTGTAGATGCAGCCTCAGCAAAACCATCTCCTGAAAGCTGTAAGTAGGTAGAGAAGCCGTTTCTCAAGGGAGACGGTGTTATTACTGCATGCAGCTGAGGTAAAATGCTTTTGAAGTAAACTGTTAGCATTATGGATAGACATGTAGCAATACAGTTTGTAATATGCAAGTGATTTTAAAGAGCTATAACTACGTTTATGTAGAAAATATCCGAGAGTATCTAAGAGCTCGCGCAGCTCTGCAAGTGCATTTGTGGTTATATTATTTTAACAAACCATTAAAACGTGAAACCAAGTTTTCTGAACGAGCTGCATTGATCGGATGTTTTCCAATATTGATTCTAACGTGTCGGTTTGGGTGATGGCGTACGCAGAGCACTGATCCAGTCATGTGTAGCTCTAATGTAGGAGTGTCAAATCAATTCTGTTCTCAAAAGGGCTTTACTGTAAAACTATGGCATAACTCATTCAGAAAAAAACACCTCTAGACTAAAAAAGGAAGATTTTAAAACATAAGCTGCATTCTGAAATCTTTCACATTTATTAAACCTTCCAGTCACAAAATGAATGTTAAAAATAAGTGCAACAGTGTCAGTTTGATTCAGTCCGCTGTCACTACAAACAAACCCTACAGCTGAAACTAAAAGAATTGTTGTATTAAATGTAGTTTCAGTCAGAGACGCTGGCACGTTTCAGTTTGCATAGAAGCAACATAATTATTTGCCAACAAAAGTGCTTTGTAATATTTTCAACTTCATTTTTTTATCTATTCACCCCTTAAACGTATTCTTTAATGTGTAGATCGACTGGAAATAATCAGCAAGAATATGAGTAAATCTCCCCACACGACTAATGCATTAGGTCTGGGCTTAATACCTGAAAATGCTTCGTTTGTGTGATTGGTGTTAATATAAATTATCTGACGATCAATGCCGAGTATCATCAATTTTTCCTTCAGCAACAAAAATGTTAAGTGTCTTCATTCGGATAAACCTTTCTGCCTTAAAATCTTAAAACCTGGATTATCTAGCAGCTTTACTCTGAGTGCACACACACAGCCACATTCTTGTGCCTCTCCCAGTAATGACAGTCTTCCGGAAAGCTCCACGCAGCCGCGGACTCCTTGTGACGACTGACTGCATGAACAACAAACCCGCACAGCTGCTTCTCCAACACCTCCACCACAGCTGGGGCATTTCCCTTCTTCCCCTGACCCTCCATCACCTGCCTGATACAGTCGTGGGGCACAGGCTGCGGTTTGGTGCTGTAGGACACCACCAGGTTGATGTTGTTCACCTGGAGCACTTCGAACCAGTTCTGCCCTGCCACATGGTGAAAATGCTCCCCTGCTCGCCAGTTTCGATAGGTGCTGCTTGAATGGTTGATCAGCCGCACTGACCAGCTGACCCAGTCGTACTTTTTCACCAAGAACTCTAAAAGCTGCTGAGTTGAATCCTGAAGATTCTCTTCGTGGTTTTCCTTCAGGAGGCGTTCGGTGTCTAATTTTGCTTGTTCTGGGAAAGCAGCAATGCAAGACTCAATGGCTGACTTCATCCTGGATTCAACTTCTTCAATTTTGCTGCTCCACTCTTGGATTTTTTCCTGCTCTTCTTCTTGGCCCTGTGTTAAGGCACAGTGACCCAGAAGAGCAATCAGACCCAAGCAGAGAAGCTCCTTCATCCGAACACAGAAATCTTCCAGAAGGCGGCGGTTCCGTGCCACATACCTACAACACAGAAGAGCAGTTTCATCATACTTTCATCTGACATCCACAGAAATGTGCAGTGGGGATTTGTAAATCCAGAAGCATAAATGTGACAAAATAGAACAATTTACCTTTCTACCACATCTAAAATGGGCTCTCCAAAGCAGTTAGTCCCCATGAGAGCATCACAGAGCACAAGCAGGTTCTTCTCTCCTCTAGTTTTGGCAAAGTGCTCCAAAAAAAGTCTCTTCTTCACCTCCCTAAACTGCTCTTTTGCTTCCAGTATATCCATATACTTCCTAAACTGGTTCCGAATGTTCTCCTCAACAGAGAAGTACTGGGAGTCCAGTCTTCCCTTCTTGAGCTCGCAGTCTATGTCTTCCAGCTGACTCGAGAGCACATCGAGTTTGTTCTTTACTGTCAGGAACTGTTCTTTGACATAGAAGACCTCTTTGCTCTGAACATTATCTAAGGCCAGACGCAGGACAGGAGCAGCAGCCTCGCAAAGAGGAAAGAGCTCACCCACAGCACTGGCCAGCACCTCGGCCCCCCTCTGAAACATATCCATCACTGCCTCAATGGCCTCCTTCTTCTGGGCCACAACCTTCTCCAGTGGATTAGTCATGTTCTGGGATACAGAGAAGCAAAATATGTCAAACATAGATAGAAACTTAGAAATTAAGCGGTGATTCTTTATGCTGTTATCATAATCATACAAAAAATTATCTCATAATATCTTTCCATCTATGATCTTAATTAGGATGAGGAGAAAGTGGTCATTTCTCAGACTTTACCATGAAACCGTAAAGTGTCTCTCAGATTATTTAACTGGTAGTGCAGTAGTCAAAGATTAGATGGAGTATGGTCTGAATATAAATCTCTGCACCATGAAAATACTTTTCCAGTTTTTTTGTTAGTTTTCTGAAAAATTCCCACACTGTGAATGAAAAGTTCCTTTTGTTGTGCAATGAGTCCTTTGGAAGAGAGAAAGGGCCAAGGGAGAAAGGATGGAAAAATCCAAGCACGCGTGGGATTCTACATTTTGCACTCTGCTCACATGTTTACATATGTTGTGATATGGCACTATATAAATAAAAATAAATTTAACTGTTCAGACCAAAAGTTGTTGAACGGCTTGCTTAGATGAAAAAAATCCCGCTTCAGCAAATAATTCTCTTCAGACTGTTTTGACCTCGTGTCAGCTGCAATTTTTTCATAACCTGGATTTACCAAGAATTAAAAATAGAAATATGATCCAACTTCCCTTTTTATAAAGAGAGCAGAAAAGTGAGGTAGCTTACAGAAGAGTATAGAACATTTCTAACTTCTGGAAATGTTACTGTTCCAGCTGTTGGCTGTACTTTTAAAGGCGATGGTTCCCCCACTGGCTGTTAGATGAGAATAATTATGGAGTGCAAAATGGTCCAATGCAAAGTGAAGCTTTGTGTTGGTCGGAACACACTATTTGACACATTAAGTTTGTTTTGTTGGCATATTATTTATAGAAAATCAATTTCCAGATTTGTTAGCAATTTGTTGCAGACCCCTGGGGGTCCCTGGTCCTTACTTTGAAAGTCGCTTCTGTATCTGCATATAATATTAAGACAACAGATGCTGAAGGAACAAAGCTCAACTGAACTGCATGTGTGTGAAAATGAAGGACACTGGTGTTGCTTTCAAATAAAAGCTTTAACTTTACCTGATTAGTAATTGTAGTGTGTACACTGAATTTAAGAGCAGTAATGCTCTACAGTTTAATACTGTGTTGCTTCATACTGGTAAGGACCTTTTTTCTAAATATATTAAAGCCAACTCTCTATATTTATTTTGTAAATATGCTATAAATACACATTTTCTGACAAACAAGTCAAATGACATTGCTGAATGCTTGTTATTTTAACAATATGTCACTGAATTATTATTATTATTTAATCTTATGTCAAAGACTCTTTCTTTCACAAGTGGAGGAGAGAAATCTGAGTTCAAGATGAAATTCAGTATTTTTAGAGCATGATTTGGTGTTTGTTTGTTTTTTTGTTTTTTGGTCACATTGCGTCTTAATCCTGCTCTGATGGGCACCATTATGTCCTTGGATTACATTTCATTTTACGCATCCAAAAGGATGTAGATGATGATGTCATGTGAACAAAATGGGGGCCTGGATGAGAAGATGCCCTTGGCTCTGACTCATTTTAGATTCGCAGATGTTTAAAAACCCGCTTTCATCTTTCAGTCTGACATGAATAAATTACTGTGCAATCCCAGTTCAGACGATATTTGTGTCTGAACTCGAATCTGCGTCACCGACAACCTGCAACAAATCATCATTCATTTTGTTTACATTTTAAAAGGCCTCGTAATTTGTTGTATTAATAAAGACAAACATGAGCGCAATAAGATACCAACTATGAACAACAAGGTTTAAGTAAATATTCTAAGGATGGGAATTCCATGTGCCCGAACTGAACCATTTCTATCTGCCATGCGCGCTCAAAAGAAATGCGCAACGTGGATCTTTTTACGCGCAAATCCCCTCAGAGGATCGGACACACCTTGGAGCATGTTAACCCTTCTGATGAGGGAGGAAGATAAACATTCATGACATTCTTATAGTAACAGTGTTTTTTCTGTACCTGAATGAAATGCTTCTACTGCTCCTTCGCGGCTGATAAGCTCCAACAGCTGCAGACACGTTTCCCCCTTCAAGTTTGAGAAAATTCCCACGGTTCTCTCATGCACTGCTGAGAAGGGTCCAAAACCGGACTGAGAGCGGAGATGCGCATTGAATGCCTGCAAAGGGGGAGAGAGCGCGCGAGAAGGAGAGATAGATGGAAAGAGAGAGAGGAGGAGGAGGAAAGCGCAAAACTGCGCAGGGTGAAATGTGTGGTGGGTCCATTTTCTTTTCAGTCAGGTCACAATGACTGGAAGGTTTAACTTCTTCAACAGAATGGAAATTAATCAAACTGCTTTTCTAGTGGGCGTTTCTTCTTCTTCTTCTTGTTCTGGGGCAGCGTTCGTGCACACTTGTCGCAGATATTTCACCATTTTATGCCTCAGCCGCTGTGAAAATGATCCAGAAGTTGAGGTAAGACGATCGAAAAACTGTTGTCTTTTGTCTCTTTAGCGTCTGAATACGATGCACTGATTTTCCTTTTCACCTCAACATTAACGCATTTATTTGACCTTCTGCAGGTTTAGAAACCCCAATGCTCAGAGCCTTTAAGAGCTTTGATACTGCTGTGAAAATGTCATCACGGTAAAGGATATTTTAAATAATCAGGGAGGGGAATCTGACAACTACCCACTGTATATTTTTAGAACTACTGCGCATCACTATGTCATCATTTTCTGTTCAGATTTGCCATAAATTTATATACATCCGTGAAACATCTCTTATAAACTAAAGACCATATGTTGTCATTTTTCATCATTCTCATGAGGCTGAGATTAAATTAAACCTCACACCCCCGCCTTTTCAGTGCGCACACGACGCGCCCTGAGCGCCGAGGCTAAAACATCATATGTACGGATTCATACTCGCTATGTGACGGAGAGCTCTTACAGTTTTCAAATAATACAAATTTTCTTTAGATTCTTCGAAAGGACCTCGTATCACGAAGAGGGGAGAAGAAAAAGCTCCATCACATGACGGAGGATGTGCGTCGGTGGTTCACAAGCACTCATTAATCTGCAGCGCAGGTAAGCGCCTCAAAATCTTTGTGTCTCAGTAATCCGCACTGCAAATGCCCGTAATGCGCATTTTCCTGTTTTGATCCCCCAACACTGAGCTGTGAGTCAAACCTGTTCATCTGGATAATAATGCATGAGGGCCATACCAGAGGGACTTAAGCTCGGCGATGCGCCCTGCTTACCTCACCTGAAGCGATTTTTTTTTCACTAGTTTGTAAATTAATTTCGGGTTTTCCAGCAGAGTTATTTGGCCTCGAAAAATGGAAACAGCTTTTATTAGGCTGACAGCTTTGATACACAGATATGACTCCGTGGACCCTGAAGGAGCGCCGAGAAAACAGGTGTAATGATGACACAAGTGAAGTACTAACGCCCTCTTGCGTACAAATGAGTAAACTGCACTTCAGCTTACGCCTGCTGCACAGAGGAACCGTAATAACAAAGTTCTTATTCATAGCTAAAATTAAACGAGGTATAACTTGTTTTCGGGGAAATTTACACGTTGTGTAAGGAGATGATGATGACTGATGGATGGTTTTGACTTTATGTATTTGGACAAAATAACAAAAACTCAAAAAATGTTAAATACATTTAAAAAAAAATGTCAGCATTATTAAAGAGTAAAATATTCACTAAAATGAAAAAAAAAAAAGAAACTGGAACAAAACAATAATTCATGTCACAGATACATTACTAAAGAGCGTTTTATTTTCAGTTTTGATCTTTTTTATTTAGTTTTGTGCACTACACACCTTAATGTAACTGAGCAATGAGTTACATCTTTGTATATCTTTAACAATATATCTAAAATCTAATTTTTGGGACCAAAAACATTCTTTTTATGGCATTCAATTTATTACATTTGTGTTCCCACAACACATTTTCTTAGTTTATACATTTTAAATGCCACATTTATTACACATCTAAACCAGTTCTTTGGCTCGTTCAGCATTTTTAGACTACAAAAAAGTAAAAGAAATAAATAAATAACTAAAATCGTCCCAAATCTGCTGAAAAAAAATTCTTGAAATAAATTCCAAACCTTTTCTACTTTGGAAGTGCTTTCCATCAGATTGCAGAACCTTGTTGTAGAAAGTAAATCACATCCGGTACTGATGACTAGTACTGGGTAAAAGGTCAGGGCTCTGTGCAGGCCAGCTAAGTCCTCCTACATCTTGTGGGCGATCGTGGCTCAAGAGTTGGGAGTTTGCCTTGCAATCGGAAGGTTGCCGGTTCGAGCCCCGGCTTGGACAGTCTCGGTCGTTGTGTCCTTGGGCAAGACACTTCACCCGTTGCCTACTGGTGGTGGTCAGAGGGCCCGGTGGCGCCAGTGTCCGGCAGCCTCGCCTCTGTCAGTGCGCCCCAGGGTGGCTGTGGCTACAATGTAGCTTGCCATCACCAGTGTGTGAATGTGTGTGTGAATGGGTGGATGACTGGATATGTAAAGCGCTTTGGGGTCCTTAGGGACTAGTAAAGCGCTATATAAATACAGGCCATTTACAGGCCATTTACATCTAACAGAGACTCAAAAAGACTAACTTTGCCAACCTTCCAAGTAAATATAATCAGCACAAAGAGGAGCATCTTATACAGCAAATCTGCTGTTCCATCCACGAATATCAGAAAATAGGTTAATTCAGTTATAAGTAGGTTTCTAGTCCAGAAATGGTCTGTATTTGTATAGCGCTTTACTTGGTCCTAAGGAGCCCAAAGCGCTTTACACTATACACAATCACACACACACATTCACACACTGGTGATGGCAAGCTACAGTGTAGCCACAGCCGCCCTGGGGCGCACTGACAGTTTCCATCATGTTCTGCTGTAAACTGCAAAACCTGTGACACTGCGGTGACCTGTAATCTTCTCCCTTTGGCTGTAGAGGGCGACAGATTAACCTGATCGTGTCAGTCATACCTGCTTTTTTCACAGCAGTGTTAACTCAGAAAAGAGACTGTTAGATCAAATCAAAATGTAGGATAACAGATGAGCTTTAACAAAAACATGATGCGTCCCACAAATAAAGGGAAGTCTGGTCACCTGTATGTGCGAATACATGCACACTTTCATAGTGGCAGGAGCTTTTTAACATAAGAAAATAGACTTTTTCTTAATCACAAACACACCGATCGATTCTTAATGCTGTTAAATAATTCAATATGCCAAGTCAGTATTATTGATTGTTTATTTATGGTGCATATACAATCAGGCATCAAATTTGCAGAACTAAAAAGGCAACATGTTCACATACAGGGCATACCAAAAAGAGGGCCATATGATCTCCCAAAATATCAACAGAATTTTAACTATATTTACGTAGCATATAGTGTTGTAACAAGATGGCGGCACACTGCAACAGAACCATAAACCAGTCTGTAACAGAGTCTGTGTGTTTAAAAAGTAGGAGAAAAGTATGGCTATATATATATACTAAAAAAATAATTTTAACTGAGGTGTTACTGGATAACTTTTCCAACAAACACTGTGACAACTGACGTTGTGTTCTAATGCAGTAAACCCACCAACCATCTGATACTCTTGGCATCACCAGTTTTCTAGAAAAATAAGAGAAATTGTTCAAAACATGAAGACTGCATTAAAACAAACCCCTTAATAAAAAATACAAAAAAAACGGGACATTCAGGCACTGTTGTTCAGACAGGAAAGGACACAAAACGCTAAAAATGATACATAGTTGCTCAGGATGGCCTTAAAGAAAACGACGGCTCAACAGATGTTAAAAACCTCCCACCAAAGAAACCCTCTGATATCTCCTTACATACTTGGTGCATTTCCTGCATCGCTAAAAAGCTGTAGTGCACATTAAATAGAAAAGAGTGGCACAGCTGCACAGAACGAGAGCTCTGTTAGAAACTCAAATACCACAGGTGTGTATTACAGGTTGGGGAAACTGAACTGCAGCCATTGCTTAATTTGACCTCATAAATGGTAAATAATGACATATTCAGTGCTTCTTGCTCCAGTGAAGTGCTCGTTATTGGCAGCTGTAGTGCTGCATGAAAAATCTGTAGTGTCTTAATGTTTCAAATATTTTCTGCACTTAGGAAAGAAAATAAAGAACTCAGCACAGCAGCATCACTTTAGTGTAAAATAAATTTAACGTAAGAACAAGTAAAACACATTTGTGGCACAGATTTTGATAATTTGCTTAAGATGACACGATTGATTATATTCAATAAAGGATTATATCACAGTAGTCGGTTATTAGATTCATAGATATGAGGCTTTGAGATGCTTGTCTCTAGTTCTAGTTGAACTCTTTCATCTGAAGGCTGGTTTCTCCTGCCGTCACACTGATTTTCTTGTAGTGTAATATATTTTCACAAACTGCATTTGGCTGGAATAGACTGCATGTAAAGCTGTGGGAAGCTCTGCAATAGATTACGTTTAAATATGGAGCTGATGCATTGACAGTCAGCTCTCATTCCAAAGGTTTCAAATGCTTCTGTTCATTTTCCCGTAAAGCCACCAGACTCTCCCAGAGACAGAGCAGATGTGAACGAGCACTGGTTAAAGCTATAACAAGGCGGCGCACTCACTGTCAACACGTCACATGCAGATACTTGTAAAGGACACTTTAGTGTCACATTTAAACACACTGGGTAGGGGGCTGTATTTGATACCAAACTAAGATTGTGGTGCTCAAAGAATCCTGAACAGAAATTTCAGAGACATATGTGCAACTTCAATGGAGGGAAAGCTTTTTAAAGCTTTTTCTTATTTTGGCGTCAAGTTGTTAAACTTTTTAAAAGTGTTTTGTGTTTTTTTTTTTTAAATCAGGTTAGACTGGTCCCAGATAAATAACCACAGGGACTCTGCTTAAACTAAGCCAAGTGCAAATTAATCAGCAAGCAAAAATGTCCAATGAAGGACATGAACTAAAGTCTTCTATCTGGCAAAGTCCTGCACACCTTGTGTGAGCAACTGAGAACGGGAGTATTTGATGCCCTGGAACGAAAAAAAATGTACTTTTTAATGTTTTTTGTATAATTATGTGTGTGCAATTTCTTTAGCGCAGCATACTGAACCCATGGATGATTAACATATCTTTTCTTGCCATGAGCTGAAACCACTGCAGTAACATTTTTTTTAAGTTGAAGAATCAGCCAGTCGATGTCAAAGCAGCAGGAAACGGGCCATGCTCACGTCTCACACACAGCTCACATGTGCAGCAATCACCAGGCTTTTAAAGCAGTGAAGGGAGACGTTGTCATTGGGAGAGAAAATGAAAGAAGGAATGTGGACCGGCGAGTCCGAAAACTGAAGAAAAGCACTGATGAAGCAGAGACGACGACTCTTCACGGTTCTTCACTTGCACCTGCTAAGAGCTTCCTGCATTTTCTCCTGTACGTGCTCCATCTTCTCAGCCCACTCCTCGCTCAGGCCCTCCTCGTCGTCTCCGATGACGGCCGCGTACCCCATGAGGGCGATGAGCCCGATGCAGAACAGGTAGGTGAGGCGCGTGCACAGTCGCTCCATTGTCTGGCGATCGCCTTGGGAGTATTTCAAGTAGACCTCCAGGATGGGTCTACTGAACAGCTTGCGTTTCCCCACCACGCCGTCGTACAGCGTGTGCAGGTTCTGGTCACCCAGATCGTTGGCGTAACTCTCCTCAAAGTCGTCTTTCTTGCGCTCGCGGTGCTGCGGCCGCGCCTCCACCATCTCCATGAACTTTCTGAACTGGTGCTTCAGGTTCTCTTCAACCTGATTGTACTGGCCGTCCAGCGTTTCCTTCTTGATCTGCACAAGCGTGCTGCGGTTCAGCTGGGAGAGCTGGTCCAGCCCTCGGTTGACTGACGCAAACTCGCGCTTCAGAGTACGAATGTCTTCATCATCGATGTGGTGCAGCACCACCCGGATCAGGGAACCGGCAACACCAAAGATGGGGTTAACTACAGCAGCAGCTGAAGAGATGGTGGCCACACACTGAAGCACTTTGACCAGACCCTGCTTCAGCTTGGCCTTCTCCTCGATGATCTCCTCATCCATCATGGCTGAGGTGCAGGTGCTGAGGTCAGAGTCAAGAAGTGGGACGTGATCTGTGACAGTTAGAGATTAGATTACATGTTTGACCTCAGAGTTGGATTATTACAGTCTTTGAATTTACTGTGACATAAATATACTCTTGTGCTTTAGATTTCCCTGATCTGTAGTTGGTACATTCAATATTTTTCTTAAACAAAGATAAGAAAACACCATCTATTTTGTTGAGTTAGCTAAAGAAGAGGATTTCAAACCTCTCAGGGCCAGTGATCCTGGTTTGCAGTGGGCTTTGTGTCACTTGATAATGAGACTGACTACAATATGACTGACATGAGAGGAAGTTATCGACATAATGTGCTTGTTTTATTAGCACAAGTTTCTGGCTATGAGTCAGAGAGCCATGGATCTAAAAGGTGAACATGCAAAAAAAGGCAAACATAAGGAATTATGTTTTCATTATTCTGCTCATTTCCAACTTCAGTCTTATCCTTAGCCTGTACCAGAGCAGCTTTGCATGATCCACAGTTCTAAAGGGTTCGTGTTCATCTTGAGTAGCTCCCTCAGTTCACAGTCAGTCTAACCGGCTATGTCCCCAACCAAAACCAACAGCCAGTGGGTGGTGCTTGTGTGGTTATCACCAAAGCTGCATACCTGAGTGGAGCAGGGATATCTGCTCTCACTGATATCCACTATGATGGATTTTTTTAAGTAGTTTTACTTTTAATAAAACAAACATATTTAGGCTCCCATATATGGCATTCATGTAAAATTTAATGAATATATTAATAAAGAAAAAAGCTTATTGTTTCAGTGAGGCAAAGACCAAATGTCCCGATCATGGTTGGTGATATTATGCTGGTTGACCCGTCAACAATTTGTAGTACACTAATTAAATATAATGCTGTATAAACACATTTAAGTGATGCTAAAGTGCAAAAGAATGCAGTGAAATATAATTTATGTCATAGAAGCCTAGTGTGGATCCTTCATTCATAATAATAATAATAATAATAATAATAATAATAAATGTCCCCTGGCTGTGATTCACCAGGCAAATTGGGTGTAGCAGAAGTCTAACGTCTCAGCTGTTTGATAGAAAAGCAGATGTAACAGCAGCATTTATTTACAGCTGCCGCTCGCTGTGCTGTGACAGCCACAGAAAATAAGCATTTCATGGCAGTTTCACAGAGTTTCCAACGTCACAGAGGACTGCTGTGTGTCGACAGTGACACAAAGGTGCTGCTGAAGCTTACATCAAATTTCCTTTCTTCAAGTTCACACTGGAACAATGAAAATATGGATGCTGGTCCTGATGAAGATGATTCCTGAAACAAAAGACAGAGAGACAGATTCAGACAGCACGCTTGGATCCAACAAAGACGTCTCATGTCACTGATTCTGAACCAGGAAGTAAACAGATTTTTGTCCCTCGCTGGCTACAGTTTTCAGCAGTGAAGGAGTTAACAGCTTCTCTCTCTTTCAGCTGCATTCAGCACCAGGCTGCTCTCTCTGTGTTTCTATGGCCCGAGCAGATAGCTCCTCAGAAGCAAACAGGACGCGCACCGAGACAGCCGGAGTAGCTTCAGGGCGGGACAGAGACGCTCTTCAGCCACAGTACAGGAACAAAAACAAACATGGCACGGCCGACTGAGCTGACAAACCCGTTCATTGTGTAACAGCAGCTTCTCTGGAAGTGCTTTCAGTCTTCAGTTCAGAGGAAGATTGTGGAAGTTTAAAGTTTAAACTGACTGCTGTGAAGAGCTGATGACGTCCAGTTGTTATTAACAGAACTATATGTGGGTGTTTTCTACAAAGACTGCACTCTCAGCCCTCTCATTTTCCTGCAATTGTCAGAAAAGACCTGTTGGGTGCCGTGGCGTCTCAAACTAATATAGCTAATCACATCAGCGGCGCTGTGGTGACCAGAAGCCTGAGCGAGTGGAAACAGGCCCCACACTCACTGCACGGTCTTTGTAAATCCCCGTGACCACCAGGGGGGGGCGGTAATATGCCCACAATAAAAACACCACCCATAGCAACCATCCTTCTGATTTCAGCACCACCACTGTGGACTAAAAGCACTGACGCTCACTTTTAACCCTTTAGCTTTAGGATAACTTTAAATGTTCAGTTTAAATGCTTGTAATCAACAAAAATAACAGGAAACGATTGATTAATCTAAGTACTTGTGAAACCTGCACTTAGAAAATCACGTTGAATGATTTTAGAGCTTCATAAGACTTTCTTAAATGTCATTTTTTCATTTTTAAGTGGTTAGTTTTTTTTCATTTTTTGGCTGAAATACATTTTTTCTGTCAGTAAATGTCCCTCCACTTTCTGTTTTCCTACCATGACGTTGATAAAAGGCCTATTCTGCTTAATTTTTGGTATCTGATGGCAATTAAATCCTCCTAAATTTGCACTGATGTCGTATTGTGTCTCCAACCTGTGTCCTTAATTTCACAGAAGGTGATCTGGAGGAGAAGATGCCCCATTTCACAACATAATACAACAAGCTACACGAAGCAATGAAGGTAATGAAAGGGTTAACTGCAGTTTTAAAGCTTTGATTATTTAATACTACAGCAAAATAGATAAGATAAGATAGAACTTTATTAATCCCTCGGGTGGGTTCCTCTGGGAAATTCGATTTCCAAAAAAAGCACAGCAACGACCGAAGTCACACACACACACACACACACACACACACACACACACACACACAAATATAAATAAAATATACAAAGGGGATAAATAGAATAAATAGGAATAAAAAATACAAGTGAATTGCACATTTCAAGTATTGAGTCTATTGCACTGTTGACTATTTACAAAAAGTATTGCACAAAAGGTATTGTACAGTGAGGTGAAGAGGCACTACAGCTTAGTTGTTCCCCCCTCCTTTGTCCTCCTGTTTCCCCTCCCTCTCCCCTCCAGAGAGGAGTTAAACAGTCTGATGGCGTGTGGGACAAAGGAGTTTTTAAGTCTGTTAGTTCTTGTCTTGGGGAGAAGCAACCTGTCACTGAACAGACTCTTCTGGTTGTTAATGGCCGTGTGCAGAGGATGCCCAGCATTGTTCATAATGTCCATCAGCTTTTTTAGTGTCCTTTTCTCTGCCACTGTCACCAGAGTGTCCAGCTTCATGCCGACCACAGAGCTAGCCCTCCTGATCAGTTTCTGATGTGAAGTCATTTGTATAATCTGAGCTGTATTAATAACAAACTCAGTCAATTGTGCACCAATTAAAGAGCACGACTGCTGTGCTTCTATTAGCGGCATTAAATTAACCCTTTGTGTTAATGAAATTAATCTTATATTGACCTTTGACCTTTTCTTAGCAAGTGGTCTCCATCATTCTAAGATATTCGTAGTAATTTGAAGAAGAAACTCAATCATATTTAAGTATATAAGTTTAGGACAATTAATAAAACTCCTAATTAAATGTGAACAAAGTGGAGAAGCTAAAGCTCCTGAGGTTAAAGCCTTCTGAAAGGGTTAACCAATCAGTGCTGAGTGGCAGCGTGGCCCTTACAGCCAGCAGGCTGCACACTTCTCAGGAGCTGACAGAAAGCTGTGATTCAGTAGTTGTGACTCAGCTTCTGCATTAATGTGCGTCTGAGCAGAAACCAGCAAAGGAACAATTATAATAATTGTATTTATTTATTTATTTTTACTTTTAAAGAAACATTTGGCGACACCTTGTAACCAAAGCAGCTCTGTGACGTAATCAGGAAATGTCAAACGGCTCTCACCTGTTTCCAAGCAGAGGAGAGGCCATCTTGAATGTTTTCTATAACGTCACCAATGCTAGGCTAGCACAAATTTACACAATAAACTCCAATAATATTATTCCTAATGTACGCCACTTACATTTTCAATGCTTATTCTGATTATTTTTGTGCTACTTATTCGTGTTAAATGACAGGATACTTTCCCTTCACAGAGCTCAGCCTGTGTGGGGCTTTCCTCTGGGGAAGTGCTCCCTTGATGGCCAACACAGCCAAACAACTACTTTGATAAGAAACATACAACAATGAAGGGCCATCCGGAGTTCTCGTCCGTGTTTGTAAGTAGTTCTACAAGAATAACATCCTCTCCTAACAGCACAGGCCCGGCACACTGCCTTCTTGCCCCAGCTCTGGCTCCCCCTAGCAGTCCCTCCATATTTCCTTGTTACTGCACACCATAATGCCCTGACCCTCCCTGATCTATTATACAGTAAAAACACCTAAATACATCTTAAAACCTAAATTTCTCTGTCTAAATAATAACTATAGAGGCTCTACTTGCCTTCCAGCCAACATTAGGCACCATTGGCCACATCAGAACAGAGGATTGCTTACCTTTCAGACAATGGCTCTAACTATACCTTCCTCTCCAAAGTCCCAACCTCGACAGCCTCCTTCTTCTTCCCAGCAATCCCTGCAAAAAGGACACTTCCATGTCTGTAGCTCATGCAGGGGTGAACAAATTTGACAAAATCATTTCTAAAAAGCCCAGAAAGTCCCCCAAATCTAAAAATGGCCATTTGGGCCCTAAATAAACATGACCTCCAATATCCCATTAAAAAATAATTTAAAAAATGGCATTAAAAGGTAAAGCCCCCTCCTCAGAAATATACTGTTCTACCCCTATGGTTTCAACTTATTTTGGTCCATTCAGTAGTCATACAGTTAATACTGAAGAGGGATTGTCCGTGAGTGCGCAACTGAACTCTTAGGAACTTGCTGCTGCTTTTCGTGCGTTTGCCAAGTCATGGAGCATCTCTGAGAGGCTACACAGACTCCATTGGTGGGATTAATTGGTAAAACGGACCCTTTTCTTATAGACTAGATCAAAAGAATCCGAAGAAAACTATTTTCACGTGAATAAAATCCAACAAAACCAAAAGTGAGCCGCGAATCCAAATGGACATCTCCAAAAGTGCACAGGTGTATCCAAATGCTCAGGGAGCTCTCAAGAGGCAACAGGAGTATAAAAGAAAATTGTATCCAGCGTAAAAGGTAAATATAATCCTAAATATAACCAACATTTGCCAAATGTACATACAAATTAAAAGTTGCATTTTAAAAATGTCCAATTTAAAGTCTACTAAAAAAGTGAAGGGCATTTAGAAAGATGGTCCAAAATGCGCAATGGCACTGTCGACAATATTTTTTTAATCTAACTTATTTAAATACATAATTTATTGAAAAATACATTTGTTATTACTAACAGCACCGTAGAACATGTTTTTAAATTTAGATGAGCTGTCTGACCAACAAGGGCTATCTAGCAGACAAAAAGCCTGAGCTATAGGCGCTCCCATTCAGTGCGCCAAAGTAATCGTGTATAGTTACGATTTGGTCCTTCATGCGGCCTTAAATAAGAATAAATGGAAACCTTAGGCACAAAAAACGTGCAGCCAAATCCGGTGAATTCTTTGGTGTGAGGATCAGCCTGCTGCGCCGACGGTTGAAGCTGTTTCCCCCGAAATAAACCTCATGCAAATCCTGCTGCCAGCGACCAGCACGACACAGTGTTAAAGCACAGACTTGTTCCTCATTTAACCCGACTGTTCCTTGCGTCGCTTTTTAGAGCAGCACACAGCCACAGTTATGATGGGCGTTTGCCTCCCAGCATGTCCAGACCTGAGCAAGCCGCGAGTGGGTTAGAGACCCCGCATCCCCTCACTGAGACATCCAGCCTCAGGCAGCAGCAACACAAGAGAATCCCTGTCCTCCCCGCGCTGTGAAGTGGGAAAAATAGAGATAAAAGCCGACTGTTCACTAGAAACGACAAAGCTTTCAGTTATCTGCTGGGAAAACGGTCCGCATCGACGCTCAGGGCGTGCTGGTCGTACAGTAGCGCGTCTGTGAGCCAGTACAGCCTTTATTCAGCACCGCAGCTGCAGGCGGAACTGCAGCCGGACGCACGCCTGTCCTCAGTGAACAGTTGCCACCGCAGCTGTCAATCGGCTCACATTTCAGACTGTGTGATGAATACACGCAGCCATATACTATACTCTAGTAACCGCATTTGTGCAAGATCAGCTGTGCGTAATATTTACGCTCCGCGGTGACAAACCTCTGTTGCAAGACCTTGTTTTGGTTTTTGTTAGCTGGGGGGCAGGAGGAGCGCCTTGTTGACACGTTGAAAGCCACAATATTGAAGCCCCGGGGCAGAGGCTCGACTACAGAACACCGAAATATATTCATGCACAGTGTCACCATTCTTATGTTCTAGATTAAACAAGCTGCTTTACTGCAGCTCTGTGTGCTGTAAACTTTGGGACTCCAGACAGATATTGTTTGCGGATGTGTTTAATATTCTAGAATAAATAAATACAAACAAATGGAAACGTTGTCACTTTGTTTTATTGTACACATTTACTGCAAAATGAGAAATGTAACATTTCTGTGTTCACCCTGTTTGCCTGCTTCAAATACTGAAGTGTAACCCAGAAACTGCTGAGAGTTCATTTCAACGGGAAAAGGGGAGGGACAGTTTTTGTAATCGTGTTTTTAATATTTGACAAAGTCCAAAAATACACTTTAAAGTTTACCAGCATTGTCTGAACTAATAATTCTTTACCCGACACTGAAATCAAAGATGTTGAGCTAAAATTGTAGCCACAATTGATGCACTCACACTGTAGTTACAGATGTTACACTCCAGGGGCGCTGTTCTGCCATGTTAGTTAGTGCCATGGATTTATGCATATTGCCTCAGTCATGATACATTTATTCAGGCTCTTTTCCAGTAAGAGTTTCGTACATGCAAATATTGCTGACATGAAGGGAGACAGATCAGAATGTAGAGTTGATCTCATGAAGGTTAACTTCAATAACAGTCTGAGACTGCATGACTCCACCAAAAATTCCTGGATGCAGAAGGATGACAGGAGCCGGATTAATTTATAATTTTTAAAGAACATCAAGACAATTTCTTCCAATATTTCTTTGTTTGATATATTTTTGAAATGTGTGATATGTGAAGGTTCGATGTTGCTAGTACTAGGATTCTGATGAATCCTGCTGCCTAACACATCATCAAGAGGTCATGAACTGAGGAAATGCACAGCTGACTCATTTGAAACACCAGGTTCATGTTATTCAGACCTGAGACAATTCCCATCATTAATTCAAAGCCACCAAAACACAAACAGTCAGATTTCATTATTCTTCACACCGCGGTAAAAGGGACCCTCCAATCTGCTGAACAGAAACATCTAAAATGTAAAACTGCTGTCTATCAGCTGCACATTATTCCTCCAGTGTTCATGTGAGGTCCTTCCCTGTTGGGTCCCTGCGTGTCTCCAGATGGGTTTATGTTCTCCAGCAGGTTTCTGTACTGTGTCGTCTCCGTCTGGTGCCGAGCGATTTTTCTAGCGTAGTACCTCCTGGATGCGGCTCTCCAAGCTTCCCTTTGCAGCGTCTGAGACTCTTCGGGTAGCTCCGATATCAGTGTCCTCCTCCTCTTATCCACAAAAGAGCTGGGCTGTGAATACTGAGAGTTTGCGATGTGGGGGAAGGGGCTGGATCGTGATGGGTTTGCCTGCTGGCGAGCTATCTTTCGAGCATAATATCGTCTGGAAGCTGCTCTCCAGGCTGCCCTCTTCAGTCTCTGAGCTTCCTCTGGCAGGTCCGACATTGGCACGCTCTTCTTCTTGTTCCTGAGGAGGTAAAAGATTTTACACCAAAATTATTTCTGTTAGACTCTTCTAAACTAATAGATATTATAAATTAATCAACTGAAAAACACCCTGGGAATTCTTGTGCTCTGTGTTTACTTGGTTAGCCTCCAAGCTGTAGTCCTGTATCAGTGTCTCAAGGAATTACCTTTAAACATTTTTTAAAATTGAAAGCCAAAAAAAGAAAAAAGATACGAGGCACGGACTTCGGTTAAGTAGGGTAACACAGACTCATAGCCCGCAGAGAAACTGTGCTTACATGCGTAATCATCCCACTAAGTCCCGTTTTGAGACAGGAAACACACTGTATGTGTTAAGTTCCTGCACTGCTGAGGTTGCCCTATATTCCCCCAGTTCTCGCTCTCTTACTCATTTGTTCTCTGTTGTGGTAGAATAACATTTAAGTTGTCGTCAGAGGGTCCACAGATGATCTAATGCACCATATCTCTTCAAATAAAGTTGGTCAGAGGTTGCATAACACGTTCCTGGAAGTATCGCAATAAAAGCCTAATAAAGAAGTAAAAGGTTGTCTCCAGTAAATCCTTACAGAGATGTTCATTTGAAACAGATATAAGAAACGTGGAATAATAATAATAATGAGTTCATAAGTTCAACAAAATGAGAGGATACTAAATTATAATCAATTGCATCACAGGTGCCCAACTCTCACAACCACCTTTACAGCCTTGACAGCGTTACTTTCAGTAACAGATGAGTTTAAAGGTGATGGCTGCACGCTGCTGTTGTAGAGAACTTCAGTCTGCACTCCCACAGTGACGATGAATCAATAATCTGCTGCTTTTCTTTCTTTTATTCAACTGAATCTTTTGCATTTTGACTGCTAGTTAGACAAAAACAAGCACTTTGGTTTCAACACTATAGAGAAAAATACAACAAATCATCAAGTCCCCGAGTAAATAATTATTATGTTTCTGTATTAGCATCCCCTCTGAGGCGTCGCTGGATTATCAGCTCATTAGTTTCTCTGATATAACTCACCTCATGTGCTCTGCCTCAGTCATTGCAGCTCCGCCCGGGTCTGCCTGTGGTTTCTCCCTGAACGTCCTTCCTTCTCCGGTCTCCATTTTTTCTACATGGATCATTAGAGATGAACATATTTTTAGTCGTACCACTCCAATGTTGATATTATATTTACTATGACTGTATTTAATTACAGTGTTTTTTCCTTTGGCTGTATTTATTTTCAAGCTTCTCTGTTGCTAGATTCCAAAACCAGACTCCCATGTTAGATCTTCAGTGTTTGATGGGTCAGTTAGAAAACAGTGATACTGACGAGTTTAGCATTGTTAAAACAGATGAGTCATTTTCCCCCAACGGCACCATGTGACAGGACCGGGTGGAAAAAATGCCCTATATTTATATAATATTTCTCATTTGTGCAAACAGCAAAACAAAGAGAAGTAGAGGATTTGCTTTTCCAGTGCTGAGAATATTAATGTGAATAAATTAAATGCAGAGTGCATTACTTTTTACACTGAGACTCTCTTTGTCCTGACACGGACTGCCCGTGCTCTGCTGATGTTCATTCATCTCCCACTTGATTAAGACCGTGTCGACGTCACATGGCTCTTGTTTGACCACGAGGCTGCTGGGAGATGTCGGCATATTTCTGGCTGACTCTGTTACACCCGAAACCTCGGAGGAGCGGGAGGTGCAGCTGTGCTCCAGGACCATTCTGCTGGGGGAAGATGGAAGAGCTGACTCCTGGCTGTGGGAGGAAACGTGTGAGGGGGGTCTTGTGAAAAAACCCACTGTAAAGAAAGGAAACAAACAAAGGCTTATTTTGTGTGTTATATTTCCATAATATCCACAGTCACATGTACTCAAGTCGTTCAAACACTGTGTTTTCTAGATGCAACCAATCAAAAGGCAGTACTCCTTAAAGAGGGAGGAGCTACAACAGCTTCTTTTACACAGAAGATGAACTGGGGGGCTTATAACACAACTATGGATTCATGTAAATTATGAAACATGCAACTCAGTGTGAGTAGAGTTTAGCATTAAAAACAAGAGCTTGAAATGACAATAACAGGCACCTTTTCCCTGATATACTCCAAAAGACTTCTATAGAAAATCACTCAAGTTTCTGATATTCGTAAATCATTACTCACTACAATGGATTTTCATGTTCTATATATATTTTAAAAAAATCTCAGGGCTCAGTGAGAAATGGTTTTACTCAAAACTGTGAAGTGGAATAATACTTCAGGAGATGAGGTGGAGGAGGACCAGACATGAGAGCGAGAAGATGAGAGCTGAGAGGAGGACATGCCTTTGAGGAGCCTGAAAAGGGCAAAATGTGTAAGCTAGGGCTCTGAAATTGTCAGAGAGGACACCAGCCTGTGAAGGGAATCATCTTTCCATGGCAGTCTTGTTGATGAGCACCTCCCACTTGTTTGTGTGCTCTGATTTTTTGTTTTTTCCTTTTCTCAAACCCGGTTGCCTAGTTTCAGTTTATAACCACTTGTTTGGTAGTTGTGGCCGCTGGTAGTTTTTTCAGGTGTCATATTAAAAACAATTTCAACCCATTTTCAGTATGGTATTAATGCTACCTTCAGAAATGAGCACCTCCCTGTGGTCTGTGGGCTCTGTTTTTTTTTCTTCTAAAACCTGGTTGGTGGCCGTGGCTAGCATTGCCCTGTTTTTCGGTTTCATGCTAAAAATAAATAAATAAAATAATATCTGCCCAACTTCAGTATGGCTGGAAGTGAATTGATAAAGATAGGAGACATAGGATTTAGTGCACTTTTAGTATATAAATAAAGTTGAATTCTATTCTATATATTAATTATATAAATCAACAGCAAAAAGGAAGAACTCAAACTAGCTTGTGTGTGTGGGACTGGGTGTGTATGAATTCCACTGGAAAGGTTCTAGTTATCATATGGGCCTAAAAACTTCAGAGCCCTACATTAAACAATTTTCCATATAATGGAGAGGGGGTCAGAAGCTCATACATCTTCCTCTGAGCTTTTTCCTTCCTGCTATAATGTCTAGCCTTCCTCCACCCCCTCTCTTAACAGCAGTAACACTGCCTGCTCTACCTCCAGAATTACATCCACCCCAAGTATGGACTGCAAATCTAACCCCCATGAATATGGCATGAATAGAAAGCCCAGGATGGCCCCTTGACATTACAGCAAGTCTCATATAGATTGCATAACCGGTGCTTGACATAGAGGTCACAGACTCCTGTCCCCAACAGCAGACAAAATCTTAGAGGAAATTATAGAAATGTTCTGTAATAAGGTGGTGGGTGGCAATGAGTCGAGTAGATTAATTTTTTAAATAGATTTATCTGCACAGCATGCACTAGCTGCTCTTTTCTAGCCTGCCCTGACAAATGAAGTGCAGGGGTAAAAGGACATGGCCATTGGCCTTTGGGAAGATCAGTTTTCTTTTTCTTCATTTTAATATTCTCATCTACTTTCCTTCATGGAGCAATTCCAACAAAACCTCTCTCGGTTCAAATCCCAATCAGACAGTCGGGATTGGAAGCGTTTCGGGGTCAATGATCCCGAGGACTTTACAGGCAATTATGAATTGTCAAAGACATTACTCTCATCTTCTTGTGAACTAGTGGCCTGTAGTGGGTCTAACAAAGGGATGACTCAAGGCAACAGCTGACAGGCTGTAATTTGTCACCAGCCTAAACCTGCAAAGCCAGAAGTGACGCTCGTGTTTACTTACACGATAAACTCGTCTCACAGTCCTGCTGCTCCGCTGTCAGCTCGGTGTCAACGCATCCCGGATCAAAGTCGCTCTGATCTCCCTTCTGCCGGTCACCGGAGCTCCGGGACCTGCCGAGGCTGTGCTCGTTCTTGAACAGCCCGCAAGTGCATCCCTGCCGGCGCAGCACCTGCAGTTCGTGCTCCATCTCTGTCAGTCTGCACTCCAGGCGCTGGATCTCTTTGTCCCTGTCGGCCACCATCCGCTCATACTCGTAATTCTTGGAGCTGTTTACGCCGTACAAAACGTTTATCACAGAGTCTATGGCCAGCCGGATGGCGTTTTCCACCACCAGAGCCTCGTCGTCGCGGAGATGTGGGTGCAAAGTTCTGTTTTTGACCAAATCCATGTTTCCTTTAACTGACTTGTACTGACAGGCTGTGCTAGAGGGAGATGCTAGCGTTAAATGTGAGGATGCGCTGGCTCACTGAAGCGATAAGCCGCGCGCATGCGCCCTCCAAAAAACAACAATTAACACACCAATTAAAGCTTTTTTTTAGTGATTAAAAATATAAAATGATAGTGTTACATTCTTAATGTCACTGATGCCGTGTCTATTACCGCTAGCTGAACAACAGAAGCAGCAGGGGCATCATTATCTTCTTCGCCTACAAGTGGCGGTCAATAAATAGTGACTTGACGGTGATAGCACCGACTACTGGTCATTTGACTAACTACACTAACAGTTACTATTAGCAGTTTTTCTTTAACCTAGAGATTTATCTGACAGACTGTTTTTTTTAAAATTCATAGTTAAGGAAATAACTCAATCCAAAACTCACAGGTTATCAACATTTTCAGCACTATTTGGTTTATTTTGGGGATAAAACTATGTCCTAATCCTTTTGAATTAGCATAATTTCATCACCCATACCACAGTCAAGTTTTTTTAAATCTTTTAGCAATCTTTAAAATATTTCTGAAGTAAAATCATCCAGATCAGTTTGTTGTTTGTTGTTTAACTGCAAAGGAGCAAAAGAGAATGGATGGATCTTTTTTTTCTACTTATTCTTAATCTATATATTTTCTTTTCTAAAAAGAAAATAAGTTGTTTTAATTCTTCTTGTAAATCACTTTAAATTATTGTTGTGTTTGAATCGAGCTATATAAATTAATGTACCTTGCTTTGCCAATAATTGCTTCAGAGGCCTCGCTTGTTTTTGGTTTCATTTGGCCAAACTATTCTGCAATGATCCATGCACTCTGAAATCATAAGTATTTGTGAATTTCTTGATGCATTCTCAATCATCCAGGAAAGTAAATCTCCAAAAGTTGATTCTGTTCATCTGGACGTAGCGTTTTGTGGGGGAAACGTTTCGTCACTCATCCAAGTGACTTCTTCAGTCTCAGCTGACTGCAGGTGTCCCCTCTTATAAACAGTACATTTGCATAATGACTGAAACCAGCCCAATGAAGGAACAATGGGCTGGGAGGTCAGTTCCTTAATCTTAATTATGCAAATTCTCATGACCATTGATCAACAACCACTGACCAAAACCCACTGATCAATGACCACTGATCAATGGCCATGAGTATCATTCACAGAGAGTTGGGGAATGGCTGCAATCACAGCACTGTAAGATGGCGAAAGATGTACCCTTAGGCCCCTCCTCGATTCAGAGATGGTCTTTCCCTTTTCACGTAAATGGCCTCCTTGACTCCACGCTCAAACCAGCGTTCCTCCCTGTCCAGGATGTGTACATCCTCATCACTGGCGTAAATAGACTGCAGAGTCCTGGCCTGACAAGGTGGCTCTTCTGTGTTGTGCCATCCGCTTCGCCAGAGGTTGTTTGGTTTCCCCGATGTATAAGTCCTGGAAATCCTCCTGGCACATTTGTGAATTTATAAAAAAATAAAAAATAAAACTTCATTCATTTTACCATGAAGTGAAACTCTTGAGATCTCTTCTGAGTGTCCTGGGTAGCAGCAATCTATGACATTTTCCGATGATGGATGAAGCCAAATCTCCCAGACAAAATCTGCACAAGCATGAGCGAACGTGCAAAACTCTGTGAGCCAGCATCGTGCTATACTGATGCTTTTCAGTGGCTGGGACAAGCAGACTCCTCAGAGCTGAAACTTCCTGTCCAATGTGAGGGAGCTTCAAAGCTTCTACCTGGAAACTCTACAATTGTGGGGTGAATTAATTTTCATTTTTAATTTGATAATATGGGCTTAATGGATGTAGACTGACTGGCACTTGGATCATTTTAAAAGAAGACAGTGTGTAAGATTTAGGATTCTATTAGCAGAAATGGAATATAGTTATAATAATTCTGCAGTATTTTCAATTATGTCAGCTGTCACATTAAACATAATTGAAAATACTGGTGAGCTTCTTTTTGTTGTAAGCTGATAATGAGCCTTTCATATCTGCACAGTGAGCAGAATCTCTCCCATCGAGAACACCAGGATGGCACTAGTGGAAACTTATAAACAGTCACCAGATAATCTAGTGCTGCTGTTATTGTGTATATATATATTTATATTTCTTCATACATTCTTATATAGTTCTATACTGTGTATTGTGTATTTTGTTGTACAGTTATTTTATTTTTTAACTTTAATTTATATATTTTATCTTATTCTTTCCCAGTTAAATTTACCCTTCATTCTAATTTGTGTTGTACAGTTATTTCATTTTTAACTTTAATTTTTATATTTTATTTTATTCCTTCCTAGTTAAATTTACCCTTTTTAATTTTCATATTTATTTCCTCTTATTCATAGCCTTTTCTTTTTTTCTTTAGGTCACGAGCAGTTGTCTAAGCATTTCACTGCATATCGTACTGTGTATGACTGTGTACGTGACAAATAAAATTTGAATTTGAATTTGATTTACCACATGCTTGGGTTGTTGTAATTCACGAATCCACCGCTAGATGTCACTAGTTTCCACACAGTGCACATTTGAAACCAAGTGCAAGAGGAGAAGTCGTTTTTATGAAGAAAATATAAGCAACTAGCAAATAATGTAGAAAAATTAACAACAAGATGTAATTTTATTGATATCACCACTTTAGTGCGTTTCGTGGCTGGGACTGACATGCTCACACATGACATAAACAGACAGCATCCTTAAACGTCCCAAACAATAAATGTTTTAATAGTGATGACTACAAGATCTTCCTGCATGAAATTAATAATCTTTAGAGTAAAATGAATAAATATGATTATGATTATAGGAAATGGCATTATAAACTGATGCCGAGATATGATTAAAATGCATAGTAGTGTAATGCATGATGAACTCGAACAAACTACAATGGCTATAACAGTAAAAGTGCAAGCATTTTTTAAATAATATTTTAAAAAGTAACTGTGTTTGTGTTTCTGGTTGTGTCCATCAGGTCCTAACTTACATGTAGCATCACATGACAGGTAAACACGACATGATGAATCCAGCCTTGTGAGCATTCATTGGAGGGATAGTATTTTTCTTTTCATCTCATGCTGTAGATGTAAGAGTCAAAATAACATGTGCTGCAGATGCATTTTGTGCTACTCTACACAGTAGTTCCCCATGCTGGTCGCTTCCTTTCCCTTTTCCTGTCTTCTTTTTCTTCCTCCATCTCGGTTTCCTGCCAGCTGCAGCCATCGCTTTATATACCTCTCTATCTCCTCGTCCACGGCATCCTTACAGAACGAGTTCTGCCTGACTGCGTCTGCAGGGGTAAAAGGGGAGCAAAGTGAACACATGAAAGTAAGTAAATGCTTTAACTGTTTAAAATACACCATATTTTCTTGTGTGTCCTGTAGAAGCACACTCACTGAGGATAACTCTCTTGATGGTGAGGTTCTCTACTTTGTGCTTGTTATTTCTTCCCCTCCAGTTGATGTTTTTGGCCAAAGCGTTAGTAAAAAGCTTTGTCATTGTCCTCCACACACTGTGTTTGTTGGACAAACCTCCAGACAGGTCGAAGTAAGAGATCTGCACAGAAAGAATGACGTGCACATTAACTCATTAGTATATACGCCATGTGGCATTCCCCCTCCCCAAAAAACTATATATAATAATTGCTATAAATAACAAACTTTGGTCCTACATGGTTCATATCAACCAGGAAAGAATACGACAAAAAATGACAAGACTAATACTACTCCATATCAACACACCATTACAAATACATCTAACAGCTGCTTACATTTGCAGAAGTACATAAACCGCTAAACTGTTATTACAATTAAAGAGAAATGTTTATTGGTAAAAATTCAGTTTATTTTGACAAAGACCCAGAATGCAGAACCACAGGAAGAAAGAGTCTCACAGTAATTAATCAATCAAAGCTTTATTCGCCACATGCAGGTTGCCCTGCAGTGAAATGGGACCCCCGACCTTATATAGACACAACACAGACATTACATGGGGATACAAGTCGGAGATCGGCAGCGTTACAAAAAAACACTGAAATATACACAACAATGGGAAAGTACAAGAGGAAAAAAAGAGACCTCTACTCATGCTGTGCTTCCATGGTAGGACAGCATAAGAACAGGAAACAAAAAAACTCCTCTGCACAAAAAGCACATAAATGTCCACAGCACAACTTTGTGAAAGACATGACAAGCCACAGGATTGGGTGGGGGGTGAGGAGTAATACGAAGCGAACACAGCAGCCGCCCTAATTACAACTCCCTCCCCTCCTTGTGGCACAGTCCACCTTATTTGTATTAAAGTTACATCATCTTCAGTTTGACCCGCCAAGCCCAGAAAGTCAAGATGAGAATCAACCAGTCATCAGACTTCACCAAGCAAAATGCTAAAGTACCAAAAAACAGCACTGGCATACAAGAGCAAAGGACAACTACAAAAACAACTGAGGAGTAAATATAATTTAAGACTTGCATTATATGGTGGCCCAAATTATGTTTTCTAAAATTATCAATAAACCTTATAAAGAGAAAACATTTCCCAGTCATCACATGCAAACGTTAGTGAAAACTGACACAAGTTAAAACTGATAAAATTCCAACATCTGGTGATACTTACCATTTTCTTCTTCAGCTGTGGCTCAGTGCAGAGTCTGTGATCCAACGTTCTTAAATCCTGTACCGACTGCAGCGGCAGAGGAAGCGTCTCAGCATCTGGAGGTTCACACAGCAGATGAATTTTGTGACCGCGGTATTTTTAGAACAGTGCTGTTTTGCTTTTTGATGGTTTCCAGTGAAACGAGAACCTCTAGAAGTATTGCTTAAAAAAGAGATACATAATCACTTGTGTTGTCAGATACCAGAAAGCCTTTTATGTGCTATTCTTAGACTGACTGGAGCTGCATCTACCAAAGTACTACGTATTTGTAAATGTTCCTTCCTGTTTGGCTGCAGTTTCATTAAGCTGTGACTGACAGGTAGCAGCAGCCTTATATTTGGTTGGTTGGTTATGGAGAAAGTAGATAATTATGTGTGAATTATGTGGAACAATAGTCCAGTCATGGAGGTAGCAGTCTGACCTCCTTCTGCCTATCTGTCACTTCAGCTCCTGTAGCAGAATGCACAGGCAAAAGATGCACGTCCTGATATACTAAGCTGGGCAAATTCACACAACACTGATAGGGCAAAGGAAACAAAACTAAAGACTCAGGAAGAGGAATTAGTGAAGCGCTACAGGGCACAGCCAAAGCTAAGGCACTGCACTCAGAGCTTTGAACCATCCTGCCGTGGGAAAAGTGACATTGCAGCTCTTTAGTAAATATTGACAGTAGATTTTCAACAGCCAAAGAGGGTTTTGTTCTGGTGCAGACTGTTTGTAAATGTGCCCCATAATGCATTCAGTCTGTCCTGGATCTGTCTCCTTTCAGCAGGAATTGCCTGAAACAACTTACACCTTAGCAGATGCCCAGACCATCTCAAACAGAGCAGCAGCTGTACTCTAAGAGGGGTTTGAGTGTCAGGGTGAGCCAAAGAGCTCCACTCTCTGAGGGAGTTTGAGGATGGCAGGGGCTCTCAAGGCAAACTGGTCCTGTTTGAAGGGTCAGAGCAACTGCATGAAGGTAAGAATCAGCAGCCAAGGGTCCACCCTGTTGTGAGCAGTGGAGGTCCACTGCTTTGTGGTCAAAGGAAGAAGGCCTTTGGGGTCCAACTTCTGCATGCCTGAAAATTAAAATGAAACCTGATGTTACAGTAACGCTGTAAGAACAGAACCACAGATTATCTCAACAATTCTAATCCATTAGGATTTCAAAATACGGAATAATGATGCAAAAATATAATATAAACTGTTATGGTCACACATGGGTTGTGGAGCTGACATAGGGATGTACGTCTGCTACTGACATGATAAGGTCTATTGTGCATTAATGTTTGATGATACGGAGAGGTTGGAGCTGTGCTCCGTAGCTGTTGTGATCCGGTATAATTCAGACGGACTCTTGTAGCAGTACCTTCACACATCAACTTGTTTGTCTGAGAATGAGGAGTTTTTGCTTCACATTCAGTCTGTCAGTCTAAAAAGTTATTTAGATTTAGAATATAGAACCAATAAGCAGTCAACATTTTAAAACGTGCTAGAAGTGTTACTTAACAGACGTTTATCACCAGGTTTGATACTTGATAGCATTTTGCTAGCACAAACACATGGTTATGCAGTTTATTTCATTCCCCCCCCCCCCATAGGACATTAATCTGGATTATTTTTGTTACATTTTGTTAACTGTGCTGTTAATGAGCTGTGGGTAGTGACCGAAAGAACGAGATTGCAGATACAAGCGGTGGAAATGGGCTTCCTCCAAACGGTGGCTGGCCTCTCCCTTAGAGATGGGGTAAGAAGTTCGGCCATTCGGGAGATGCTCCTCCACATCGAAAGGAGCCAGTTGAGGTGGTTCAGGCATCTGGCAAGGATGCCTCCTGGGTGAGGTTTTCCAGCATGTCCCACCGGGAGAAGGCCCGGGGCAGACCCAGGACACGCTGGCGAGATTATATCTCTCGGCTGGCCTGGGAACGCCTCGGTGTTCCCCCGGACAAGTTGGAGGAGGTGGCTGGGGAGAGGGAGGTCTGGGCTTCTCTGCTTGGGCTGCCCCACGACCCGGCCCCAGATAAGCAGAAGAAAATGGATGGATGGACATGTGGTTAACAATTAATGTAACTATCAGTACAGCGTAACTACAGGATATACAGACTGTAATCTGAACCAGCAGTTACATTTAGTCATATCTAGAGAGGATCTACAGGTTGTGATCTTTAGTAATAAATGTTATTTACTAGGTAAAATAAGTAAAACAATAAAGAAAACTCAGAAAAAAATAACCACTTTACATTCAAAATATGCTTGTTTTTGTTTTTTACATTTCATTTTTATTCAACTTTTTTTAAAACAGCATTAATTTTTTTTTTAAAGTTACCAAAAAATTATAAAAAGCAGGAATTAAAAGCAAATAAATTAAACAGAGACAATAAACTGTGGACAACACAGAATATATGCATGTTCTAGAAAACCTAAAAACATAAGACATGACAAACTCATGGTTAAACACAGTAACCATACCATAATACTAAGTGCAATAATCCTTTCTGTCATCGTTGTATTTTTACTCAGTTGTATATAGTATTTGTATTTGTATTCTATTTTTATCTTATTGTATATTTATTTTATTTTATTCTACTGTATATAGTATTTTATTCTATTCTGTACAGCTGTGTACTGTATTTATTCTTATTGTATTCTAATTTTTGCCTCATAACTTTTGCACTGTCCACTTCCTGCTGTGACAAAACAAAACAAATTTCCCACGTGTGGGACTAATAAAGGTTATCTTATCTTATCTTATTACTATTATTATTATTACTTCTGAATGAAATTAGTACACATCCTTGAGTCACTTTTGCTTGGTGTATTCTGAGTGCAAAGGCAGGAAGTACAGTAACCACCTTTTCAGAAGAGGAAGAGGAAGCAAACCAAACCTACTCACACTTCTTAGAAAAACTTTAAACCAAGTTCAGGAGTTTCAGTCTTTCAGACCCCTGTGAGAAAAATCAAACTGAAACAAACAGTAGTAAAGAATTTGCTACTGCACTGAATCCTGATCATCGAAAATGTAAAAAACAACAATAGCGATATACATTATGCAGCTTTATTTAAAGAATGGCTTATCCAAACTCTCCCGAGGAGGTGAGAATCATGTCTGAGTGCCAAGCAAAGGGTTTTACAGAAGGGAAACACAAAGAGTCTTCATGGTTTCACAGTGAATACAAACTTACCTTTCACCCTCAACAAGACCAACATTTTTTTTACTAACTGAGAAAACTCATGGTAATAAAAAATTTTAGAACTAAAAATATAACAACAGCACACAGAATACAGCCAAGATTATAAATGACACAACTCGTGTGGGCGTGTCCTGCCGTCTCTCCTGCCTTAGGCGATGCCCTTTTTGTACAGCTGACTAATCGGCAATTAAGAGTATTTAATTGAAAAAGGTGCGTTCTAGCACTGGAGAGCCTTGTTGGTTTTTTGAGCTAGTGAGCTGTGCGTGGTGGCTGTTTGCTCTGTGGAGAGGAGTCCGTTTTGGTTACTAACCCTTTTTAGCTTCTCAGTTTAATGACCAACTCCTGGGTTTTGTTTTCCTTCTTTAAAAGGTGATAGTGGATTGTCTATCTCTTTTAGGTTAATTACTAATAGAAACATTACTAAAACCCTTTAATTGAACCATTTTGGCTCCCTGTCTCCTTTTTTTCAACACAGAAACCTTTTGTAACTTTGCCTTATCCCCAGTCCTTTAAGGGTGGAACGTAACCCACTTTCTTAAAAATGACTTCTTGACTACCATCATTCTACTGATGAGGCTTTAGTGAACAGCAGATGGATCATCTAAAGCAGGGGTCCCCAATCCCAGTCCACGAGGGCCGGTGTCCCTGCAGGTTTTAGATCTCACCCTGGCTCAACACACCTGAATCACATGATTAGTTCATTACCAGGCCTCTGAAGAACTTCAAGACATGTTGAGAAGTTAATCTATTCATTTAAATCAGCTGTGTTGGATCAAGGACACATCTAAAGCCTGCAGGGACACCGGCCCTCGTGGACTGGGATTGGGGACCCTGGATCTGAAGGGTCAGATGGATCTTTCAGGTTCTGTGTCAGATATTTGCTGGATTGTTTCCTAGACAGCGTTTTAGACCAGCCCTCTTCTTTTGTTCTCCACTTGTCCAAGGATATGACGGACACAATGCTGAGATTAGCAGCTCTGTTGAAATCCATTGTTGATGCCAAAATATTATTTTATGCCTGTTATACTGTATTATCTTTGGAATTTTTCATAGATCTTTGCTAAGCCGTCTGTTACGTGATGACAAACATTCCTTTGAAAATGTATTGGTATAGGAACTGAGCTTAAAATGAGCCAACCCCCCCCCCCCCCCCCCCCCCAAAAAAAAACAAAACAAACAAACAGCCAATGTCAAAAGGAAAAACTTGGAAAGACCTTCAAAACACCTGGAGATCCATCACTCGAGACCACTTTATGACCATCACAAGGAAGCCCGACTTACTGGAAACAAAAGATAAAGAAATGAGGGGTGACTCAAGACTTTTGTACAGTGCAGTATTTTTTGATTATTCAGTGCTCAAAATAATCCTTATTTATTTTATACTGGGCTTAGCACGCCCCTCAGTTTATCTTCTCTGAAGCATTTTGACAGACAGAAGCTTTGAAAAGCACGTGGCTCAAGCTGCTGTGCTCAGTCACATCTATATATGCCCATTTTGGGGGGATTCATTTGCTGTGACCTCATACAAAAAGTTTTGTAAGTAAAAAAAAAAAAAAAAGTCTATGAAATGGAGCTTCAGAGTATCTGTGAATGGTAGTCATGGCCATTGATCAGTGGGCCTTGATCAGTGCTCATGAGAATCTAAAAAAATCTTTATGTCTGAACACAAGTGTTTAAAAGTTTCAATATTTAATTGTGTTTTTCAATTGAAGTTACAGTCATTTCAAAAGTATTCAGATCCATCTATCATTTATCTCTTAAAGGGATATAAATTCTTTATTTTTCCCATCAGTAGTGCCAAAACCTGCATCACTACACTGAAGCATGGTAGTGGTATCATGATTTATTTCTTAACAGTAAGCACAGATCTCTGGTTGTGATGGTGTTGTAACCACCAGAGATCTGTGCTTTGATGATGTCTTTTTAATTTTTGGTTGAATTTACTTAACCAGAGTTTAACCAGAACATGACCTGTGACCTTTAAAGCCACCTGCAAAACATTTCTAAAAACACAAGTTCACTTTGTCACTAAAACCAAAACAGATTTTTTTTTTTTTTTTTTTTAAAGTACAGGGGTCTGAATTCTTTCTTAAGGGACAGTAACTTGGTGGTTTTCTAAGTAGTGACTGTGATAACATCTTCTGTGAACTAGCTGGTTTCAAAGCTAATTATGAATCAAATATTTATAATTAATAAAAGGCATCTTGATAAAGAGGTTTCAACCTACATCTTTCTGACTCAGCAAATGTCAAAAGGGTAGAATAAATTTTGTTGGGTAAGTAAGCGGGCCCACCATCGTTCTTTTTCCAAGTATTCAAGCTAGAAAGGCAGTAGGCAGGATAGCCCGATTGTTAGCAACAGTGACTTATTCATCGAAGTGATGAAGAGAAATACTCAATATTCAGAGACAATAAAGAGAAAATCCTGACGAAAACTCAAATAAATGAAGATTGTGCACCGGGCTGTAGAAAGAAGGCTGTAAAGATATGTCATTAGCATCACTGGGAAAAGAAAGGATGCATTTCTCAGTGACAGGCTTCTCCATGATCACTGTTTTTAATGACACAACAAATCACTGAAATGAAAGATTTGAAGGACTTCAAGGAATGCAGGAAAAAAGACAATTTTTAGATACTTGTATTGACAATCTAATACCTGAAATGCAAAAATAACACACAAAGATTACTTTAAAGACTACACATTCTGCGGTGGTGCTTGTAGTTCTGGCTGATAGTTAAAAAATATACAAGTAACTGAATTAAAAATGTATATTTTGTGCATTATGTTTATAATTTAAATGTCTTTGTTACCACTGTTTTACGATCATGTGGTGACTTAACTCCTCAAGCTACATTTCTAGAGGTTTGGACTTAAAGACGATGTATTTCACAGGCTGATTTTACAGTGACAGCCATCAACAGTGTCAGATGTATAAGCTTTAAACAAACTGAGCTGTTTGAAACTCAGCTATGTTAAAAAGAAATAAATCCTACGGCTTTAATTTTGGCTTCTTTACCACAACTAGAAAAGCAAACTGATAATTCTGTTTAAAACAGTGCCTATAGATCGTTAAATGGCACTGCAAGAGAAATTTATATTCTCAAATTTGTTTTCAACAAAAACACAAACACATGTTACATTTTTCATTTTAGTATATTCTTGGTACCAGAGGTTATTTCCACGAAAGCAATCGGCCCTAATTTCCGTGAAGTTTTTTGCATAAATGTGCACCAGTCTCTGTTGCAACATGTTTGAGGATTTTCTTCCTGCTGTTTAAATCCTCCTGCAACATTTTAATGAAATTTACATCGTTAACGAAGCCAGCCCAAAAGAAAGAGTTTCTTACAGTGTCATGATATGTTTCATATATTTTAGACATGTTATTAGCTCTTGACCAGATTCTAAGAAATGCCCCCACACTTTTTTACCCCCAGTACCTTAAAGTGGCAGTAAAGCCTAGATGCACATTATTTAAATTAGACAGTGTCACCTAATCTGGAACTAATGACTCCAATTTAAATCTAGAAGTGTACTTATGTTTTCCTTCTGACTGATGTGCTGTTTATGTATTTAAAGTGATCAAAAAATGTCGTAAAATTAAATGCCGTTAATAATGGGCACAGTTATGAGGATGAAATGTTTATCTAAATACATTAAAAAAAATCTTTTTTCAACAGCGCTGTCGTTTGTGCTAAAACCTCTTTTGGCAGGTCGCACTCAAAGATGGTGTGAAAAGCCTCCACCTAGACACACAGCGCTGTCTGTGCTTCAGCATCGATGCGATGAATCATTAAAATGAAGAAGCCACTTTCAGTACTTCCCTCAAAAGTTTCATAATGTTACTCGAAAGCAGTTTTCACACATTCACTGCAGCCGTAAAGTCTTCTAAACATTACCTGAAGAGAGATTGTGAATACCCAGTGCGGTCGAATCGGATATTAGCCGATTTTAACCTCCAAGACCCCTGCTGAGCTCCCTCCCAGCACACTGGGAACGCTCCCTGGCCTAAACCATGCACAGTGATTCCAGTAGTGCAAAGTGTTTGTCTGAGCAGACTATTTCCTCCTTTCTGCTACACGTGAGATAAGACAATTCTAGAAAAACAGTTCAGCTGTTGCTTCGTTAGGTGAAGCACTGGAGACTGCTGCTCACTTAAGTCATGTTTCGTTTCCCTTTCTTTCCACTTCCCTGTTTTCCTAGCATTCAAGATATCTGTCACGATGCTCTTTTTTAGCTTCATGATAATTTTTGTATAAAATGAGTACTGCATACATTAAGTTCTCATTTTTATTCTTCAGCCTCCACCTCACTCAATCCTCAGCATCCTCTTCTGCCACACCAACCCGCTCAGTGGCGGACCTAGCCTGTTTGGCGCCCTGGGCGAACACTCCCTCTCATTGCTGCTTCACCTTAACATCTGTCTCCCTGTCTCATTCGCACACATGAATTCTGTCATGCTTCTGCTGGCTTTCATTCCTCTTCTCCTCAGTGCATACCTCCACCTCCTCTTTAATCTGACTACAGACCTGAAAACCTGATGTAATCCCACCTCACCTTGAATCCATCTGTCACTTCTGCTGCACAACTGTCCTTCTCACCGTCCTCATCCATAACCTGCACCACATCCACAACGACACAGTGCATCTACACTGCTCCATCAACGAAGGCAAAATGCTCTCTCTTGGCATGAAACTACTATATAAATTTTTTTTTTTTTTTTTTTAAAAAGCATAATTTAGACTGGCAGCATGGTGGTTAGAACTACTGCCTCACAGCAAGAAGGTCCTGAGTTCAATTCCACCATCATGCAAACTCCTGTGTGGAGTTTGCATGTTCTCCACGTGCTTGTGTTGGTTCTCTCTGGGTACTCTGGCTTCCTCCCACAGTCCAAAGACATGCAGTTAGTGAGGTTAGGTTAACTGGTAACTCTAAATTGCCCATAGGTGCGAATGGTTGTCTGTCTCTAAGTGTTAGGCCTATGGCTGACTGGCAACCTGTACAAACTGAAGACAGCTTGTATAGGCTCCTGCAACCCTGACAAGGATGAGTGGAAGAGAATATATGAATGGATAATTTAGACTAGTAGAAATTTTTTTTGCAGATTTTCTCTAGGGTTCTTTGGGCAGTATTGTGTAGTGAAAATCATGTGATAAGTTCTTGTGTGTTTGGAGGTCCTTCCTCGGACTGATTAAAGACTGGCATTAAAACTGCAGTATCAGTAAATCAGTCTCAGCTCACTGTTTTGCCCCAGGTTCTTCATGGGTAAATCTATGCACACTTTGCCAACCACAAATGATTGAAACCTGTAGTTGTGTAGGAGGGAAGCTAAATTACCTGTTACTACCTCGTTCGTTTTAAAACCTGACTGTTTTTTCAGGCGTCTGTCCACGAATCACGTTTCTCACGTAATGTATTTCTACTGTAACAGCCTTATCTGGGGGTTTTACTTTGCAAACACGCATGAGAAGCATCGTTCTGCCTAGTCAGTGTTATTACTCAGTCAGCCCCAGCTTATCTTTTTCTTATAGTTTTTCTTGACAAATGTTACTTGGCTTGATGCTTACCCTCCCTGCTGGTCCAGCAAACTGGCCTCACACACCTGCAACCAATGATAGCCACTGGGGTCCTGTTTAACAGGTGAGGGCTCACCAGAGTGGGCGTGTTGACGGGGAAAAGCCGCCACTGTGTCATGGCATTTGGGGGAAATTTGTGCAGGAGCAGCTGCACCTACATGTGATGAACAGATAGATGAATAGAAAAATGAGTGGGTGGATTCCATCTAATTCAATATCGACTCATTGTACTTACCACCAGACTTGACTCAGTGGTTGTTCGGCTGTTTTCAGCGCTGCTGACAGAGCAGGAAAGTTCATCCTGCCGCACTCTGCCCACCTAAAGCCGCAGCACCTTCGGCTCACTTTTACTTTTGTCTGACTTGGACCCCAGCTTTCTTATGTCTTTGTCCCTTTCGGCCACCATCCTCTGGTGCTCCTGCACCCTTCCGTTTCAGGTGCCGCAGATAACGTGGGTCAGTGTTTACAGCCGCGGCTTCCTCTTCGGCCAAATATGGTGTACAACCGCAGAAGTCGGGCTTGTTATTACCCAAAGTTACTCACACAACGAGCCGCCAATAGATGACAACAGCACCGGGGGAAAGGAAAGTATCTACAGCCACAGTCTGGTGTTGAAATTCTTAGAGAGGCCAGAAATACGATATAAAGCTCAGTTAAACCTCCACATTTAAATCACCCCATTCTGCCGAATGACTTCTTCTTCGGTGGTGTTTGAACGTCCGCTCGGCCGCAGCCGTCGAAGGAGTCACAGGGAACTGTAGTTTTAAGTTTAAATCTTCAACACACTCGCACAACATCAGTGAATGATGGTAGAAATATAATTTCAGGATGGGAAAAAATCAAAACCTTATTTGTGACTAAAGTCAATTTGATGGTGATTCTACAAATGGATTGTATATGCTCTCATCAAAGTTGTAATAGTTAATTAAAGCCGAGATGAAAATTAAAACTAGATGTGAATGATATTTTAGTTTATTAAAAAATACAATTAAAAAAGCTAAAACATTAAAACTACCTTCACTTGATTTCAAAAGTTAGACTTTTCTTTATTGTAATAGCTACAGATTTTCCTAAATCTTACCTCTGACATATATTCTCCATACAGTAATGATTAAGAAGACTAAACTGAACTAACTAAAACTAAATATTCTCAAATAAATAACTTAACTGAAACAAGAAGATCCACTCTGGAAACTAACTGAAACAAACGTGATTTAAAAACAAAAGTTAAAACAAACATAAAATACACTAAAACTAATAATTCTGCCCCTGGATGGTCTGCAAGTGCGATTATTATTTGTTTCTAGAAGGACTTTTTTGGTACATATGTGTTGCTGCCCAAGCTACATACTAATTAGAGACGAGAAATCTATCAGTACTATGAGGGACTCTGGAGGCTCTGTTATGCTGTGAGTGGGAATTTTGCTGGCATTATTTGGGGCCACTTATCCCATTAAATGGTAGAAATAACTGAAAATCAATAGAAAGTTGTTCTGAATGATCTCATTTTGGTGTGAAAAACTGGAGAAATTTGTCACCGTGTGCTGTACGCATGTGTATGAAAAGAGTATCCTCTCAATCTGTCACATTTAACATCATTCTTCACCTTAGAAGTGACAGTTAAAGAAACCAATGTGTGCTGAATAAAACGAAAAAGCAATTTCCATGGCTGTTACAAAGCATCCCAGTCCACCATGGTGACTGTCATCTGCAGGCTAAAAATTAAAGCTGCTTTAGACTAAAAGACCCACAAAAACAGCACTGGTTATGTTGACTGGAGAAATAAATAGTAAAACTTTCGTATTGAGGTTACACTTTATTGTTCCCTTAGGAAAATTTCAAAACAATCGTTTCCACTGAATATTTGCATCACCTGCACAACAACTTGGAGATGGATAATGATCCAGGAAAGATCCAAACACATCTCTCATAAGTCAGTAAAACAAGAACAAAGTTACTGATTTAAGCATAGATATGGATCTTTATCTCTTTTATTGTTGATTTCTTAGTAAAAGCTAAATGCAAAGTATAAACATATTGCAAATAAGGTAGATTAAATTAAAAAAAAAAAAAACAGAACAAAACACTTTCCCCATACAGCTACAGAAAATCATATCATCCAAAGCTCTAGTGGAATTCACAAACATTCACGTCTTAACATTCTGCAGTCAGAATGCGTCAAGTGTTAACATATGCAAATCAGCCAAAGCAGAAGCCTACTCTATGTGTTATATGGTGTTTTTTATGTTTTTGTCATAAAAAATGATAATCACATACATTTGAACAGATGTAAATGTTGTATGAAGTTCAAGCACAAACCCGCTGCTATCAAGAACACACAGCAACTTGCAACAAGTGAACTGGCCAGCTTCAAGCCACTTCATGGAATCTCTCCTGCCATGTGGTCTACAGCTGTGGCTGTCAGTGCCACCACTCTTATGAATTTTTCTGGCTCCAAACAAACTGACAGAACCATTTCCTGCTTTAACTCTCGCGCTCATGCTGGGAATCAGATGAAACTTTTACATTGCTCTCTTTAGACAGTAAAACAGGAACAACACCTTCAGCTGTTTTGTTAAGAATGCAGTAATCACTACAGTAACATGGTGCTAGAGTCTCAACAACAGGACTGCTTGGTAAACTGCACTCTGGGCTTTGTGTCACATCCTCAAAGCTGCAGCCAGAGTCAACACAGCTGATATCCAGGACATCTTCAGGTGGAGAGGAGGCAATCTCTGCCTCCCTGCCCCTCTCCCAGACGGAGCAGGGGAGCTGAGTATAAGAGGTGTTAGCTGGACAGACCATAGCTATAGGAGCAGGAGCCATATCCATCCCAGGCAGGCCAACGTAGGAGGTCTGGCACTGAGGGAATGCCAGCTGAATCACTGGAGGGTTTAGGAAGGTCTGGGTCTCTTCTGGGTCCTTCGTGTTGGGTTTTGGCACAACAGCCACTCTATCACTTATCATGCCCTCATCGGCTTTGTGCATTAGTACATTTTTACCTTTCGGAGAAAGCCATTCCTGCAAATTAAACAAAATGAAGATGCATCAGGTGTGACGCAGTAGAAAAAAGCACACTTGTGTACTACCTGCACTCTCAGAATATGAAGCACCAATGCAGTATAGATGTTTAATGGTTTGTCATGGTAACATGCTGCCGTTACAAATTTGACTTAGGGTGTTTATTTTTTTACTTGCAGTTTTTACCATCTGTCATTGCAACCATATTTGAGTGGTTCATTTCTGGTCCTATTGACCGGGGAAAGCTTTTTCTCACAGCAGCCAGATACACAGTATCATAAAGTCTAACAACTAACTCAAGGAGGGACATTTGTAGAACCGCTACATGAACAGAAACAGACTTCTCATGCTTGTTTGTGAGGCTTTAGCACTGTTTGTTATCATTTGGCCATCCACTCCTGCTCTGACTGAAAGGTCTCATTCTGCTTCTGAGGGGATTACCTTGAACTCTTCAACTCATATTTCTAGTGCAGAGTTGAGTATTGTGCTTCCATGAACTGTTTTTAACTGAATCGTGTTAGCAAAAATTGTGTGATTTGCCATAAAACTTGGTATGAATATGGTAGCACAGGACGAATGTTTTAATGATGCGCCGACTTTTTATCTAAAGTCACTTGTAGTTAGAGTTTATTTATCCTTTGAAAGATCTGGAGCTCTGCGTCACACGATTGAGGGTTTGCTTTCCAGCAACTGGGTTTATTTCAGTAAGACTGATGAACTGTCAAAATCCTATTTTGCTGAATGCTTTCTTTTATCACCAGTTACCAGATGGTCAACATGATAGACAGAACACATCCTTACACTAAACTCAGCATGTTTGCATTTCTAGTTTGACAATATGCTGGTATTCACATTTTTTGCAGCATCAGAATGTTACTAAAGTGTCACAAACACTATGAACGCTGTCTTTGACTGACACATCAAATAAATAAGGATGCCAGAGATGTTCCTGTTAGGGGTAACCACAGCAGATTATCTGCCTACCCATGGACCTTGACCAATTCACTGTGAAGTTATCATTACTATGTGATAGATGTGTATAAAGCTTATACACATCTATCATTAATTATGTGGTCTTCTTACATCTCATTTCTAACGTGTCATTTTGCACTGTGCTTCCATTGTGACCCTTATGTTAGGATTCCTGCACTTAATTGATTTTAACAGAAGTTAAAATTAAGCTTCTTCAGAAATCACTCATGTTATCTCCTTACCTGGAGATCACCTTTATGTTGCTGATACAGAGGCTGAAAGAAAGGAGCCGGGGATGGCGTGTGGGACAGAGTTTTTATCTTCATCCTGCCACACAGACACAAAATATGAATAAGAGGCCCATTATCCTCATCAGACATGCAATCATTCCAAAGCTTAGATGAATTACCTTGCAGCTGGACTGTAGAATACAAACAGCAGAGCTCCCAAAACCAGACACAGTGGGAACAGATATTTGGCCAATAATAATAATAAAGTTTCTGGTTCTGAAATTACACAGAATTATTGACTCACACTACAAAGATGGCAGCAAGTCCATTATCTATCAAGTATCTGTGCTATTTTACAAAAGCGCTGAGAGAAAGGGAAGAGAGCAGCACTTGTTTTTGATAAACATTGTTCAGCGAAAACACCTCACAAGACAACAAAAGGCTGCTTCACACGAGCAGCGTCCCACCTATGTTTGTGATTATGAATAGCATTAAATAAACCTAAAAATCCATTCCTTTATCATTGTCATAAAATTGCTAAAGCAAATGTAGTTGAATTTTACTGTTAGCATATTTTTAGAAAGCTCCAGATAACAGAGGCCTTTTTTTACTTATGAAAAATGTGTCCTTTACCTTCTTCTGCTTTGTTTTCCCAGCATGTTGGTTGACTCCATTCACTCCAAGTTTCACTATATGTTTGAGGTCTATATCTTGCTTTAATGCAATATTCACTATTTTTCAGGTGCAATTTCCGATTAATAGATTCAAACTTCTTTTGGGGTGGAACCGTAAAAGTCTGTGGAAATGTTTAAAGAAACAATTATTGTTTGATTCTTTTAGAATAAAACACATTCTTAGTAAATATACTGCACATAACAGTTCATCTTACTTTGTTCTCACTGCTTTCAGGTGTTTGAAGTAATATTTCATACATGAGGTAACCACCAAGGTATAAATGGTTATCATATCGACTTTTAAATGTAATGTTGAGAGTCTCTGTTGTTTCTTGGACCACAAGCTCAGGCGGAGGTTTCAGCTGAACTGATTAGAAATATCAATCAAATCATATTTAGGTATATCAAAATGTTCCTCTAAGCATCAAGGGGGTGCATAATATTTTTTTCAGACTATCATTAAAAATGAAGCACATTAACATATTAAGACAAAATCAACAACTACAAATGTAATTCATACTTACTGTGATTTGCTAAATTAAATTTATTTTCTAAATTGATGCATTGAGATTCATCACAAATGTCAATTTCATAGGAATTATAATCCGCCCAAAGCTTATTGTTGAGTTGACATTCACAGTAGTAACTGTGATTCATCACCACAAGTGGACAAGAAGGGCTTTTGGAGCAAAAACAGAACATGGACATGTTTGTGAATTTAGAAGCAGAAACACACACTTTCAATTCTGTAAGAAGAATCAAGTATTTTATGTATTTATTTAAGAAAAACTTACTTGTGTTCGGAGTTCTCCTTGAAATATAGGCTGTAGTTCGTTTTGTTCTTTCCCAATGGAATAGCAGTGATGTTGTTGAAGACACAAGTAATGTTGTGTATATAGTCAGTCACACACATCCATGACGGTACATCAGCTAGAAAAAGAAAAAGTAGAAGAAAAGAAATATTCAATTATTATTTCACAGTTTCTGGTATTGATTACTTCAATGCTATACTTGTGTATGATAAGGTAACACACACTGGATACTCCTATGTTTTTGTGCCTTATACAATTAACCTTGTAATCATCTGACTCTGGGCGCTCTGTGGTCTTAATTCTATTGGATTTGACTTCAGCCTTTGACATGGTTGACCATGATATCCTTTTGGCAAGGTTGGAAATGTTCTATCATGGTTTAAATCATATTTCTCTGAGAGGTCGTTCTCTGTCATGATGGGAAAATATTCCTCTTCTTCTGCCCTTTTTCGCTGTGGTGTGCCCCAGGGCTCGGTATTGGGTCCTGTGTTGTTTTCTCTGTACATGCTGCCCTTGGGCTCCATTTTTGAAAAACATAATGTCTCTTTTCACTGCTATGCTGATGATATTCAAATCTACCTCCACCTGACTGGGGATGTTTCATCTTCACTACATCCTCTGTTTGATTGTCTGAGGGATGTCAAAGACTGGTTATCACGTAACTTTCTTACTTTAAATGAAAAGAAGACAGAAATGATTGTTTTTGATAGAAATATGCCTCTGGGACAACTGACCGGCACACTCGGGCCTGTTGCTAACCACCTCACTGATGCTGTTAGGAATCTTGGAGTTTTCATGGATAGTTCCTTCAAACTAGATAAACAGGTTTCTACTGTGGTAAAAACCAGCTTTCACCAACTACGCCTAATTTCTAAGGCTAAACCTTATATACCACGCAAAGATCTGGAGAAACTCATTCATGATTTCATCACTTCAAGACTGGATTATTGTAATTCTCTCTACTTGGGCCACCAATCTTCTCTTCTTCAGCGATTGCATCTGGTCCAAAATGCTGCAGCACGTCTCTTGACCGGCAATAGAAAGTATGATTCTATCACCCCTGTTCTGGCCAACTTACATTGGCTTCCTATTAAATACCGAATTGATTTTAAAATTTTATTGTTTACTTATAAAATCCTAAACAATATGGCACCTGACTACCTAGCTGATCTCCTCTGTCTGTATAGCCCTCAGAGAGCACTAAGATCATCGGGCCAACTGCTCTTAGTGCAACCTAGGTCTCGGCTGAAGACCAGAGGAGGCCGTGCCTTTGCCGTTGCTGCACCCAGCTTATGGAATACTCTTCCTCTTCATATTCGCGCATCAGATTCCATTCAGTCTTTTAAATCACGTCTAAAAACTTATTTGTTTAACCTGGCATTCAGGGCTAATTAGGGTAATTTACATCTGGCTTTGCATTTAGATTATGTAATTATTTTATATTTTATTTATTTTATTTATATCTGTAATTTATATTTTATATTGTGATTTTTTATCTGTATCATGATTTTACTGGAAAGCACTTTGGTGTACTTCGGTCTTTAAAATGTGCTATATAAATAAATTTTGATTGATTGAATTTTGATAATCACCAGTTTAGAGGGTAAATCTCTTGCTAGCAGCTCAGTCATCCCATGTGCACACTCCCTTAAAAGGTTCAATCCTTAAGAAGGCACTCTATTTATTTTTTTATTTAAAACCTTGATTGGTAAATAACCAGCATATCCAGCTGTCAAATATGTAGCAGAGTAAAAAAAGTACATCATTTCTCCACAGTAATAGAAATAAAAATCAATTTTACTTGATAAACATCAAGCTACTTTCCATATTTAATAATCAAAATATTAATCAAAGCTCAAAACCAACAACATGTGATATGATGATAGCTAACATGTGTGACTATTTGACATTTAAACATAACCTCTGAACCTCCTACTGTTACTGACAACTGGAATGTATGACATTAAAAGCTATGCAGTTAATCATAGTAGGAAGAAAAGGATGATATGATACAGCCACAAGATGAGATAAACCATAAGCTGCCTTACTAATGACTTCCCATAGCTAAGTGAAAAACATCTCCATACAAATGAGCAATACCTTCGATCCCGCTGGTCACTGCAAGGATGCCGCAGCACCAAAGCCCAAACAGGAGCTGCCAGCACTTCATGTCTTTTTGAACACAGGTATCGTTCTGTGGATATGAATAAAACATATATGTTTAAAGCCTCTTTGAATTTTGCATTACAATGTATCTACTTCTTCAGTATTATGAAATTTGTACCATTTCATCTATATTACAATTGATTAGAATTTATCTTTTCGTAAACTACACTTGTCATAGGAAAATAACAAATAAAATGCATCAAGTTTATAACTTTTCATAATGAATAAATTCACCAGCTGACATGAGTTCAGTGATATTTTAGTAAATGTGCCATTACCTCAGCTCTGTGGTGCCACTGATGTCTCAGACGGTGAATGAGACATAGAGCTGAGGTTTAAACTTATCAATCACATCACAGGAAGTCTTTTTTTTACGTCATTGGGTTTTTTTTCCCCTCTTGCCTTCTTGGTTTGGGCACGTGCTTTTGATTTAGTTTCATTGTACTAATAAAACTGTTCAGTCTCTGAAGATTATCCGGTTCTTTAAAGTTTTTTTTTCCGTGATACAAAACCTAAAGAGACATTGTTTTATGTCACTTAGGGTTGCATTTTTATTCGCTTTAGTGCACGTGCAAGTTTCTTTTTTAAAAATCAACTTTGTCAAAAAAGAAAAAAAAGATAATTATTCTTCCTAAATGTATTTACTTTTTGGTGGTTTGATGGTCTTCCATAATGTAGTGCAACAAGTTTACAATTTATGCTTGTTTAAGGTTTCAAATATTGAGCCAAACAAGTAATTTCTGTGTGCTGTAGGTTACAGAATAAGGAACTCCAATGCAGGAAAAAAAAGCTTTTTATTAAGCTGAAGGATGAGTCCAAGGTCCAAAAACAAAATAAAAAAGTCAAACACTTCAGCAAAATATAGAGAGCAAACCAGAAAAGATACACAGAACCAACAGGATAAAACAATGGACGGTGTACACACAAACGGTGATTAAGGAACGGGCACAGACCTCCAGTAAAACTCTGAACAAAGCACAAGAGGAAAGTAGTTATCAGAAAATAAACAAGAAAATAACAGCTTAGATAAATGAAACAAGGAATGAAACATGAATGAACCACATCAGAGGGGAAGCAGGAAGATGAGACAGAGAGAACACTGAGGGAAACCATGAGGGAGCTATAACATACTCAAAGACTCCAAAATAGGGCTGGTGCAGTAAAGTAATGGGCATCCAAAGCTCAACAATTACAAACCCATAAATGGGAACTAAAAAACCCAACAAGAATTAATGCTTCATGTTAGAATGATAATTAAGCACTAGAACAAGTGAAGATCCTGGACACAGCTCTGAACACAAATACCAATCTGAGAACTACTGCACTGGTTTGCTTGTGACTTTTGCTGGGTTTCTCACACTTCAGTGAAGCTACCAACCACAAGTTGATAGAGATAGGCTCGAGAGGATGGCTGTCTCTGAACGTTTTTCCTTATCAAGATTTAAATCTCATTTGGTGTGGAAAAAGTTTTGAACAACACAGCTGTTTGCAAAAACTGTAAAAACAAGCTTGGCGGGGACTTTAGATTTAGATTCTTTTTTATTCTTATTACAAGGTCCTTTAAATGTAGCCTGGGAAATGCTTAGCCACACAGGACACAATTACTGGGGTTCTTAATGTGCAGTTTTTATTGCCAATGGCAACTGAATAAACAAAAATGTCCTTTGACCTTCACTTTTGTGAAACGGCAGCCATATGGACTTGTACTGAACATCAACAGTATGAGAGGTAACGTGGCAAAGTAACAGGATAAACGATAAATAAAAAGATGCGCCAGTGCGAGGAATAAGGGAAATGAAATAAAATACAAACACAAAAATACGGCAGTGGCCTCTCTCTGTGCAGAACAAATTACAAAGAGCTAAATCACACAAGGCTCCTTTAAAAAATGTGGAAGTGTTACATACATTTTCTATAAACACTTATATTCCACAGCAATCTCAGTTTACTTGCAATACCGGAACACACAGATGACCTCGCCAGAAAATGGCTGCTCCGCGCTGCACATACAGGTCCTTTGTATCATCCATTTCAGAAATACATCATCTTGTTAAAATACTGACGTTTTACTACTGCACTGCAATTATACCAATATGTTTCAATGAGTTATGTGCATATTTAACAACAATTCAACAATTAAACTCAACATTCCCGTTTCACAACCACAAATAAAAGTAAACAGGAAGTCCCAAGATGCATTTCTTGTTAAGTTTTCTTGGGAATACTTATCTGGCACTATCTGGTGTAGAGAGGAGAAGTTAGAAAACAAAAATTGCATTCTCCAAAAATTAGATTCTAGCTGTCAAGCACATAAAATGGATCACACTTCCCCACAGCTAAAGAAGCTGCACTAAGCAACTGTAGGAAATTATTCAAAAGCTCTTTTAACTGTCTATAAAGTTTAAATACACTTGCTCCTCTCTACATTAGACACTTTATTTTATTTATTATATAATCCTGACAGATGACTGAGATCCTCCACTGGTTTCCCTTTAATTTCTTATTATTTCTAGACTTGGATGTTCACTTTACAAAGAGCAGGTTTTCATTTGTTGAACAATTCACAAACCAGGAATGAGAACTAGACATGGAGAGGAAACTGATAGACATCAGATTGTGAGAAAAGACACATTCACAGTAAACAGACATCGCTCAGTACATGTAAAAAAAAACTTTGCTTTGTTTGCATGTTTGCAAATGCATGCAGATGAGCCACAGAAAATCAAAACACTAGACTAGAATCAAAGGTCAAGCGTCATACCAAAGCTATCAACATCACTGTTTGAAGGCACTCCATCACTGAAATACCTAAGTATCACTTTCAGATAGGTCATCGGGAGAGGTGGGACAGAGAGTGGCTGAAGCCCTGTAGCTTTCCTCTCCCTGCATCTAAGAGTCTAAAACAACATCCAGACTTTCATGTTTGAAATGATACCAGATGCTAAAAACGACCTCGACCATATTTGTTAATAGTAAATCATCTTTATTCTTAATCAAATATATAATCAAAATGTAAGTTTGGCCAATATGTAAAATGCGAAAATCACTGTTCTAATGTCTTAATCTTGTGTGTGGACAGGATCCAGCTGTGACCTTGGTAGATTTGTGTGTGTCTGCAGGAATGTGAAAATATAAGAACTTTGTCGCCAAACTGTCATTATACATGATTTTGAATAAGAGAAATGGTATTAAGTGTTGTAATGATAATACATAATCCTAATTCATATGTGACTGATAGTTACTGACTTGACGAATTATGTTAAGTATAACATGGAAAAGAGTAAAACGTAATGACGTAATATCAATGAAGCAACCTTTGCCTTAGTTAGAAGTGAAAGGTCGAAGATGGAGGTGATGATAGAGTGTGGCTGGATATCAGGTGACATCGGTGACCGTCAAGATAGGAAAGAGAGATGGGGAGGCAAATGGGCATTTGCTGTGCTTTTTCATCTAGTTCTTGCGATGAGCAGAAGACATCATCTGAAGATTCAGTCCCTGAGGTCCGTAGTTAGAAATGGTAGTGCCAACAGGTAGTGCCAGAGGAGCCACCACCACCCAACCATAGTGGACCTACAAGTTGGTTTTATTATTTTTGACTTTTTCTCTGCTCATTTTTACCATAGGGGCAGGGTAGGTAACAGGGTAGTTAGTACTGGGTGAATCCCCTCACCCATCCTTAGGCTCCATCTAAACTCTGTGTTGCCATAATATTCATAGAATCAGAATAGGACTTTTTAATTAGAGCGCTGAACCAGACTTCCTGTAATGTTAAGTGAATTCAGCTTCATTGTAAATGTGTTGGAACAGAAAATCTGGACCTACAGTGGAAGAAAACAAAAAGTGGATATTTTTGACTTTTTCTCCTCAGTTCTGAACGAGAGCGTTGATGTCGCTGACAATGGACAGTTGCATTAATATTGATGGTTACACCCTAGTGCAATAAATAATAATAATAATAATAATGGATTGGATTTACAGTGGGGCAAAAAAGTATTTAGTCAGCCACCGATTGTGCAAGTTCCCCCACTTAAAATGATTACAGAGGTCAGTAATTTGCACCAGAGGTACACTTCAACTGTGAGAGACAGAATGTGAAAAAAAAATCCATGAATTCACATGGTAGGATTTGTAAAGAATTTATTCATAAATTAGGGTGGAAAATAAGTATTTGGTCACCTCAAACAAGGAAAATCTCTGGCTCTCACAGACCTGTAACGTCCTCTGTAAGAAGCTTTTCTGTCCCCCACTCGTTACCTGTATGAATGGCACCTGTTTGAACTCATCATCTGTATAAAAGACACCTGTCCACAGCCTCAAACAGTCAGACTCCAAACTCCGCCATGGCCAAGAACAAAGAGCTTTCGAAGGACACCAGGAAAAGTATTGTAGACCTGCACCAGACTGGGAAGAGTGAATCTACAATAGGCAAGCAGCTTGGTGTGAAAAAATCAACTGTGGGAGCAATCATCAGAAAATGGAAGACATACAAGACCACTGATAATCTCCCTCGATCTGGGGCTCCACGCAAGATCTCATCCCGTGGGGTCAAAATGATCATGAGAACGGTGAGCAAAGATCCCAGAACCACACGGGGGGACCTGGTGAATGACCTGCAGAGAGCTGGGACCAAAGTAACAAAGGTCACCATCAGTAACACACTACAACGGCAGGGAATCAAATCCCGCAGTGCCAGACGTGTTCCGCTGCTGAAGCCAGTGCATGTCCAGGCCCGTCTGAAGTTTGCCAGAGAGCACATGGATGATACAGCAGAGGATTGGGAGAATGTCATGTGGTCAGATGAAACCAAAGTAGAACTTTTTGGTATAAACTCAACTCGTCGTGTTTGGAGGAAGAAGAATACTGAGTTGCATCCCAAGAACACCATACCTACTGTGAAGCATGGGGGTGGAAACATCATGCTATGGGGCTGTTTTTCTGCCAAGGGGACAGGACGACTGATCCGTGTTAAGGACAGAATGAATGGGGCCATGTATCGTGAGATTTTGAGCCAAAACCTCCTTCCATCAGTGAGAACTTTGAAGATGAAACGAGGCTGGGTCTTCCAACATGACAATGATCCAAAACACACCGCCCGGGCAACAAAGGAGTGGCTCCGTAAGAAGCATTTGAAAGTCCTGGAGTGGCCTAGCCAGTCTCCAGACCTCAACCCCATAGAAAATCTGTGGCGGGAGTTGAAAGTCCGTGTTGCTCGGCGACAGCCCCAAAACATCACTGCTCTCGAGAAGATCTGCATGGAGGAATGGGCCAAAATACCAGCTACTGTGTGTGCAAACCTGGTAAAGACCTATAGTAAACGTTTGACCTCTGTTATTGCCAACAAAGGTTATGTTACAAAGTATTGAGTTGTATTTTTGTTATTGACCAAATACTTATTTTCCACCCTGGTTTACGAATAAATTCTTTACAAATCCTACCATGTGGATTCATGGATTTTTTTTTCATATTCTGTCTCTCACAGTTGAAGTGTACCTCTGGTGCAAATTACTGACCTCTGTCATCATTTTAGGTGGGGGAACTTGCACAATCAGTGGCTGACTAAATACTTTTTTGCCCCACTGTATATAGCGCTTTTCAAGGCACCCAAAGCGCTTTACAATGCCACTATTCATTCACTCTCACATTCACACACTGGTGGAGGCAGCTACAGTTGTAGGCACAGCTGCCCTGGGGCAGACTGACAGAAGCGAGGCTGCCATATCGCGCCATCGGCCCCTCTGGCCAACAACAAATAAAGGGGATGTATGTATCACAAGACACAATAAGATGGACACAAGTCTTTTTGTAGAGGTTATTCAAGCCGTGGCATTTGTTAGGGTTGAAAGGACAACTGTAATCTCCATATTTTTACTTTCTTTCCTCAAAATAGCCTCCCCTCTTTTCTCTGAAAACACCATTTCATGTTTAACTTTAAAATTTCAAAAGGGACAACATTTTTTTCTTAATGTGGCACTAATAATTAGTCACACTTTCCCAGTTTTTCCTTCCTGATTTTCTTTCAGAAAAAGGTTCATGAATCAGAATGTGAAGTCAGCTCTCTTATAGCAGCTGTTTATTGATGGTTGTTAACAATTTCTTCTTGCCTTCTTTGCCTTGCTGTTAATTCATTATGTTATAAAAGGTAAATAATATTTATTGAAAAGTCAGAAATGTTCATAATAAACAGAAGTAACAGTGTGAATGCAGCTAAATGTAAAAATTAAGATACTGTGAGCACATTCTTTAAAAAAAACAAAAGAAAACCTCCAGGGTAAAGTTTGAACAACTTTTAAATGCATTTTTAAAAATATCAGTAGTTCACATATTTTTCCAGGTGTTTGATAAAGAAAACACGTGCAATTACGGCAATGATAATTCAGAATCTTTATTGGTTTTATTATCCTTCACTCACTTGTGGCCTCAGGTGAAAGTTTAATTCAATTCAATTCAATTTTATTTATACAGCACCAACTCACAACAGTCACCTCAAGGGGCTGTGTATTGTAATAATACATACAGAGAAAAACCCAACAATCATGAGACCACCTCTGAGCAAGCACTTTAGCGACAGTGGGAAGGAAACTGAAACAGGAAGAAACATCAGGCAGAACCAGGCTCAGGGAGGGGCCATATGCTGCGACCGGTTGGGGTGAGAGAAGGAAGACGTGCTGTGGAAGAGAGCCAGAGATTATGTTTAAAGGATGTAATGTGTCAAATTAATCATGAAGACTAAACTGAGATGTTTTGATGCAGTTAACCTATCCCCACTTGTGGATTCCAGGTCCAAAAGTCCTGTTGAAGCAACTATTAGACTGACTATGGTCACACATGTTTTCTCCTTTCCCTCACTTACTTCACTTTTAATGTCCATCACTCATTCTGATTTGATAAATGCACAGAGAAAATCCTGAATGCAATTTGAACACACAGAAGAGTGTGCACCATTAGATGGTGAATTCACAATTGTTGCTTCATTACCTGCTCGGCTTACCTTTTGCTAAAGGTGGTGTCTCTTGTACTCACTTTACCAAACATTACTCTCATATATAATTGCTGTAACATATAAGTACGACATGCTCATACTCAGAAATACACTTTTTGAAGTCGGCTCCAGTAAATGATCACGTCTGACACTGTGGTCAGCAGCACAGGAGCACCACAGGGAACTGTGCTGTCCCCTCTTCTCTTCACCCTGTACACCTCTGACTTCTGCTACAACTCTGAATTATGCCACATTCAGAAGTTTGCAGATGACACGGCCATCATGGGGTGTATCTGGGATGATCAGGAAGAGGAGTACAGAAGTCTGGTGAGGAACTTTGTCGCATGGAGTCACACAAATCACCTGCAACTCAACACCTCAAAGACTAAGGAACTGGTTGTGGACTTCGGGAGGTCCAGAGAAGGTCCACTGCCGGTTCAGATAGAGGGGGAGGAGGTGGAGGTGGTCAACAAGTACAAGTACCTCGGGCTGTGGGTGGACAATAAACTGGACTGGTCATGCAACACAGAGCACCTGTATAAAAAAGCCCAAAGCCGACTGTACTTCCTCAGGAGGCTGAGGTCTTTTAACATCTGCAGGAAGCTCCTGAGGATGTTTTACCAGTCAGTGGTTGCTGGAGTACTTTTCTATGCTGTGGTGTGCTGGGGGAGCAGCACAGCAAAGAGGGACTCATGCAGGCTGGAGAAACTGATCAGGAAGGCTAGCTCTGTGGTCGGCATGAAGCTGGACACTCTGGTGACAGTGGCAGAGAAAAGGACATTAAAGAAACTGATGGACATTATGGACAATGCTGGGCATCCTCTGCACACGGCCATAAACAATCAGAAGAGTCTGTTCAGTGACAGGTTGCTTCTCCCCAAGACAAGAACTAACAGACTTAAAAACTCCTTTGTCCCACACGCCATCAGACTGTTTAACTCCTCTCTGGAGGGGAGAGGGAGGGGAAACAGGAGGACAAAGGAGGGGGGAACAACTAAGCTGTAGTGCCTCTTCACCTCACTGTACAATACCTTTGTGCAATACTTTTGTAAATAGTCAACAGTGCAATAGACTCAATACTTGAAATGTGCAATTCACTTGTATTTTTTTTTTATTCCTATTTATTCTATTTATCCCCTTCGTATATTTTATTTATATTTGTCTCTGTATTTATATATGTGTGTGTGTGTGTGTGTGTGTGTGTGTGTGTGTGTGTGTGTGTGTGTGTGTGTATATATATATATATATATATATATAACAATTCTGTAACTGTAACTTCGGTCGTTGCTGTGCTTTTTTGGAAGTCGAATTTCCCAGAGGAACCCACCCGAGGGATTAATAAAGTTCTATCTTATCTTATCTTATCTCTTATAATACCAGTGCTTGCTTTGCTAGTCCACCCCTCACAAATCTAAAAAACTGGTTATGTTTTGATTCTGAAACTATTATGATATACATGATGTTGATGCTCAGTGTCGGTTACAGAAATAATCGTGCTGAACAGAAACAAGATTTTGGCTTCAGATTGTGATACTTGGAGTGGGTGTAAATTTGGTTGCACTGTTTTTCTTTTAAACAGAGTGTTTCTCAGCCCTGAAAAGTCTCCTGTACTTATCAAGAGTTGTTTTAAAAATTTGACCCATTCACATGTACTTTCAGAACCTGTAACTCAAAATATTTAGTGTGGAGGTAAATGTTTACATGGGTACACTCAATAAAGCTATTGTACAAAAACATTAAATAAAAATCAGCTGACTTGTAAAGGTTTTTCATGGGATGACCAACACAAAACTCTGTGTATAAAGTATTATTTTAGTTTTCAAGCCTATTAACTGCATTCGAATATCATCGAGCAAATAGTAGATATGTAAATGGATCAACTGACCCTGAACCATCCCAAAGTTACGCTTCTCAGTTACTGGGGACCATGATGCACCAAGCCTTACTCCACTCATGCCTACTTTCCTCTCGAGTGGCAAGGTGGTAGAAAATGTTGTACCACTGCTACACAGAAAGACCCCAGCCGGGGTCAAACCAGGAGCCTTCTCACCTTGACTTGCAGTCCACTTGGGTGGTTGTAGCTCGGGAGCTCTCTTTGGCTGGTGGTTCAACCCCTGGCTCCCCCAAGTCTGTATGCCAAATATCCTTGGGCAAGTCACTAACCTAAGCAATCCTAAGTTGCTCTCTGATGAATGCGTGTGAATGTGGCATGTGTTATAAAGTGCTTTGAGTGCTCTGGGAGAGTAGAAAAGAGCTAAATAAGAATCTGTCCATTTACCATTCCAAATATTGAGTGGTCAATAAGAACAGAAAAGAGCTATATGACTGCAAGTACCTTACATCTGTAGCCCCATTATATGCAACTATTGCATGCCAGTAGCATTTGTATAATCTCACTCTCTAGTTTTAAGTTGTTTTTCTTTCTGGCTGGCCCTTTCTGGCCTGGTGCTGCTGGAGATGCTGTCAATAAAAAGGAGTTCTTATTTCACAAAGTCTCTAATTGATGCTCATAGGGGACCTTCTGATGGTTGGGGCTTGTTCTCTAATATTGCAGGGTCTTTATGTCACAGTAAAAAGCGCCTCAAGGCTATCACTGATAGAATGTGAAAATTATATGGATGCTAAAAGATGACATGCTAAAGCAATATTGTGATCGCAGCATAATTCATCTTTAAATATCCTTTCTAACTTATTTGATTCCGTCTTGATCAGTTAAAAGTTACATAATGTCACAGTGATTTGCAAACCATGAATTTGCACTATTAATCAACTTTATCTAGATATTTACTTTAACCCAATACATTTTTGCAGAAGATACTAAAAAAATTTAGTAACATGTATTACAAATTTTTTCAGACTTATGTCTGAGAAAATTTGCACTTTCATGCTTAAACTTTGTATGATGCAAAATTGACACAATATTAAATTTTGAGGTGCAATGACATCTCCGTAACAATGCAAAAACATTTACCATAGAACATCTCATCTATTATTCATTGATTGTGTTGACACTTTTATTTTACTGATCAATGTTTTAAACTGTTTTAAATATGGATGAAGTTACATTTAACACTTTCAAGTGAAACACAATGTCTGAAGAAAGAAGACACACAAGCAGACTCTTTACAACAGGAGATGAAGTTTTTCTGACGCATTTGTCTCCTTCCTGCTGATGAATGAGATGAAGACCAGTGAAATAATCATCCTCAGATAACATTTTGCTCCAAATTTGCACTTTTGTCTGACATTGCACAAAGCAGGACTTTCAGTGGTTTCTGCCAAAATGCATTTGCAAGGAAAACAGACATTATCAATATCTTGATAAGGCAGCATGCATGCTAACAAACCATGCTTTGATAGTAACAAACTAACAAAGCATGCATGACCATGAGAAAATAATTGGATTTCAAAAAATGTTCAGGCAATCTAAATCAAAGCAGAATTTTGATTGAGGATTTGTTAAAATCTGTTGAGTCAGCATGGAACTAATCAGACTTTTGCAGCATTTTATTATTAAATTAAATCAACACTTATAAGTATGTATGTAAATGAATTTGCATTTCACAGAATCACTGTATTTTTATTAAATATTATTTATTTCATTTATTTTTATCTACTGATATTTTCAGGCATAGAGTCTCTTTCTCTCTCTCCTCTCCCTTGGAGCTGTTCTTTTAAAATAACGGAACAAGACTATAGTGCAAGAAAAAAAAACATTCAACTATAAAAAATACACAACATTACAGCATGACCACTCAACTAGGTTCTTTTTCTAATTCAAATATCATCAACAAATCCAAGTCTTAAATAAACGTGTGCCCCACAGCCCAACAATCTGAAACGGTAGCAGTCAGTCGACTTTGAATCATTGTGATTCATGGAGTTCATTCTCCAGGTGGCTTGAGTCTTCTTGAATAGTGCTACATTATCATCCACTGCTTAACATAATTTGAATTTGAGTTCGTGTGCTGATGAAATAAATCAGAGTTGATCTGATCTGCTGTATTTGAGTCTGATGCTCCGGGGCTGCCACACTCCCCAAAACCACTATCAATTGTGTCCAGGTCCACATGAGGGTAGCCATCTTCTGACTGCTCAAACGAGTCAAGGGATACCCTCTCTGGTTCATTAAACTGATCATGAGGCTGGAAGTTTAGGTTTTCCACTAGTAGGTCATTGGATATGCGGTTTTCATGCTGTGGTAATACCCCACTTTGTCTGTTCATCCTGGACATGTGAGGCTCCTCTAAAGCATAGCTGGCATGCTCTCTGTTGTCTTCCTCAAAGGAACCCAAGCTTGCTCCATCTTGGTAACTTCTGAGGGAGCTCTGTGATGTAACTTCCTCATCAAAATCTTCTCCAGATAAGGTTACAGTATGGATGGAGATGTGTCCAGTGGAGTGGCTGTTGCCCTGTGAACTGTCACCGTCTGGAAAGTGCAGCAGCATGTTGCTGTGAGGCTGCAGCATGTGGTGGATGTCGCCACCTTGATTCGTCTCGTTGTCCTCATTGTCTCGCTGCTTCTCGTCGCTCCAGTGAAGTATGTCATGCTGCTTCTCACTCATCATCTGAACATTTGGACTGATCCTCAGGTAATCATATTCACTGAATACAGGCTTCACCCATTCCTGTAAGAGAAAAAAAAAAGGGGAAAACATCAAAATGCTGGACTAAAGAAATGCTAAAAAAGTGTCAGCTGAATGTTTAAGAGTGTGCTTTGTCATCTTCTCAAGGAAACAGTGTGCACCAAATGATTTGCATGAGAATTAAAAGTCTTTCTCTCTTTCCTAACAGTGTCATTCACTGGCTGCAGTGTGAGTGCCTGCCAAGCATGCTGCTACCCTTCTGCACATCCAAAAGGTCGTGCAGAAGCTGCTTTACAACCCACTACATCCACTTTTCCACTCAGGAAGTGTTTGCATTTGAATATCATATCTATTATCATTGCTCTAATGTGTGGGGGTCTTGCCGTTTCTCTCCCCACCTCCAGCTTTCAGTGTATGTATGTGGAAGGATGGGGAGGTCCCAGAGGAGAGCAAAGCTGCCAGACTGCTGGCGGAAATATCAGTTCATTTGACTTTTGTGGTAGATAATGGATTTCAGTATTTTCACTGTTACCATGTTTTACCAAAGAACTAATACTTAATTAAAAATCACCTTTTAAAAAAGCAAAACAAGTTCGCTTTAATGTTGAGAACCTTGTCCTTATCTTAGGTTCTTTTGCAAGTGTGGTTGAGACATCCGGACAAGTACCTAAGTGTCTGGGGCTTTCACAGGATCAAAAGATTTAACTGTTAGTGCCAGGACCAGAAATGTTAAAATGGTACAGGTCCTGAAATTTTTTGTTCCTACTAATACAAATACAGTTTGAAAATATCTGACATTTTAGCCATTAGAAATCATTATTTTTTTAGCAAACTAGACAAACAGGAATTAAGCTGTGACTAGTCGCATGTGGAAAGACTGCAGGAGTAGCTCAAAAGGAGCATATATGTCCTATCCTCTAAGAAAATATTAGTGATTCTTACTTTAATGCACTATTAAAGTATATCTCTTTCTTAAAATGCACATTCCTTTACAGCAACCCATATGTGGCAATGAGGTGTAAACTTTCTGCAATTACCACTGGCTTGCAGCAAGCTGATGGCCAGATAAGCATGAATCAGTTTCTCAAAGCATAGGCCACCACATCCTGGAAAAAAAGCTCTTCAGCGCAACAATCTTTTTAAAATCGCTGAGAGAAAGGAAGCACTCTGCACCACAAGGGTGAAAGACACTGCAAACAAACTACAACCATATCTGAGAGAAAGACGTAATACAGAGTCAAAAAAAAGAAGGACGGAAAGAAAGGAAAAAGACTACACTGTCTTTAAAATCAAAGATTGTTTTTAAGAACTTAAAGTGGGTAAGTGGCGGTGGAGTGGGTTACCCAACAATTAGAAGGGAAGCAGTGCAAAGCCCCACTCCTCAAATGTTCCTTGAGCAAAATAATCAACTCTGTTTGGTGCTTAAAGCACCCTAGGCATTCTTTATGAAAGCGTGTGGGAATAGGTGAATGTGGTTTGCAGTAAAGTGTGTTTTAAGCCCCCCCGAAAAAGGTTCAATTACCAATAACAATACTGTCACCTTCTGATAAGAACTGGTGCCAAATAAAGAGTTACAGTGGGACAGTATGCAGTCAACATTGACTCTGTTTCCAAAACAAAAGTAACTGTAAAAATGGGTTTAAATCAGTAACTTAAAAGTTGTAATTTTAAACTACTATATCTTGTATGTTATCAGCTACATTCCTCAAAGTTAAATAAAAGAATTACTGTTTATCAAACCAAGTAAGAATAATCTCCTCTTGCCTGATGTTGTTTCTGACATTTGCTGCAGCAGCGCACTCTACTGAACAATGTGTGCAACTGCATTCATGGCCAAAGCTAATAAATTCAACTTGTTGCTCGTACTCGGGTGAAATTCATCAACTAGAGTGAGAACTGAGGCGGAGGTGTGGGTTTTTTTTGGTCTGTCACCAAGATTGCTGCGGGGCTAATTTTATACTTTCTGGGGATGTGGAACATTTGCAATGGAAGAACCGTTCTGCGGTAAAAGGTCTATTTTAAAGGTATGTTTAAATTATACTAGCAGGTTCTTTCAATGTGCTCTACACTCCTTTATAAGCGAGATGTGGTGAAGCTGCTGTACTGGATTGTTTTTATTCTAAAGAAGCAGCAAATGAGAAGCAAAAGCAGACATGATAAGGTGCTTTATGTAAGAGACATTTTAACCCAGCTATTTAGAAATACAGTGCAGACTCTATCCGCTTGGATTTGAAATGAGTTAACATAAAGAAAAGGGAGAAATAACGATCAACATTTCCCTAAGCTTAGAAAGAAAAATAGCATAAATCACATTAGGGTAAATACACAGGGTAATAGAAGATGAAGCGATTCATAAAGAAACAGCAAAACTATTTCAAAAGTGCAAACCACAACCTTTTCACTTGTGTGCCTTTCAGGTGAAGAGCAGGCTGTTTTTAGTCTAATACTATGTCAAATCAAAGATCAAAATAGATTCACCGGTGGTATTTTCCACTGGGGTGGAACAGGTTTGACTTTTATACACAAATATCAACCCACAAGATTTCATACTGATATCTGAAAAGGTTCTTGAAGCCCCTACACACTGACTCATTCACATCACGGAGTCCCTTAGTGTGAAGTCTGGGGAAAGTCCCACAAAACAGGGTCCAGATGTGCAGAAAGTCCCCCCTGTGGCAGCACCTGCTGGCTTAATTTGGAAATTACACAAAAACGCAATGAGTGACCTTGTTTTGCTGTCTTACCTTGAAGTTCCCTTCGTAGTTGTGATACAGGGGTTTGAAAAACTCATCCGGCCTCGGGATGTACGTAATCACCTGAAGTTTTCTCTGCCAATACCTGAGACAAATGTGAAATGATTTTAAAACCAAACAACAGGCAGAGAAGGGAAAATGACATTTATAGCTCAGTGTCACGTCTTATGGAGGTGATTTTCGTTTTCAGTACGTGAGCTGAGCAGTTATGAAGCTGTGGTCAAAGGCAACAGCTACAAACTAGAAATGCTGATAACACAACAGATTTCATGTGAAAGACTGTACAGAGTTAAGCAGAATTCATTAGTCACATCTTGCTATTTGACTATTTGTTATCTATAAGACAAAATGATAAGTTTATTAGTAGTAGAGAAAATTTTCCTTTCTATGAAATGAACACTTGAAAGTTGTTAACCGCGCTGCGACTTGACCCGACTAATCCTTGTCTGGATTTAGATTTATTCTTTGAAAGGATTCTTTACCGCCGTAAGACGAGGAAAACTTTGACGCACGTTTCAGCGTTGTTTGTTGCCTAAACTGAGATGATTCTCTGGGCTGGAATGATAACAAAGGACTTTTTTTTATTATAGAGCTCTCTGCAATAATTATGACATGTGACACATGTCGTGTCACTTGGAGCATTTTTCGGTATAAAACAAGCCACAGGTTTAAAATAAACAAAGCTGAATCCAACAGTTTGTCCCTGAAACAGTTTCTACTAAAACTGATCGTTCAAGGTTTATCAGTGTAGAATCACTTTCAGCTGTGGCTAACACTGTGCCAGTGGCTAACACAGTGTTAGCCACTGGCACAGTGTTAGCCATTCATCTGTACCCGAGAGAGATGCGTTAGAATAATTTCAAAAACCCAATATCAAAAGGTGTGATCACTCCACTGAGAAGAACATTTCATCATCATTATTTGAAACAGGTAAGAAAGAGAAAGCAAAAAAACAAACAGAACAAATGTAAGCACAGAGTTCATGTGCTTTTGTGAACTTGTGTAGGTTTCTTGTAACCGTGTGCACTTGATAAGCGAGGTGTTCTCGGTTCTCTGACACTGATGCTCTGCATAACTTCCTATGTCTGCTAGCCTTTTCAGTGCAAGAGCTGCACACGTACATGCTGCAGTGGTTTTTCTATATGTGGGAGGTGATGCCAGGAAAATGCAGATTAAAGCTTTGTTAATCATTTACTGGAAGCGTTACTGTTGACCTCCAGTATTAAATTGTTTCAACTCTGCTGAGTTATTTCTTTGTGCAATTAATGAAGTTTCAGCGGAAATCTGACAATGCAAACGATTACGTTTTTAATCGTGATTGTTTGCTGGGGTTTAAAAAAGAAAAGACAAACAAAACAGTGTTTCAAATACTTACGTTTTCTGTGAATAACACAGACACAGGCAAAAAAAGAAGACCATAATGATGGGCAGGAAGATGTGCCACCAAGTACCTGGAAAGAAGGCATTTAAAATTTTTAGTCTTAGACAAACAAATGACACCCTTCCTGTTACTGAAGTGTATGCACGAAGACACATGCAGAATGTAAACGCATAAAACACTTTCAAATAAATTCGGATAAGTTTTCACCTTCAATATTGATGCTACTTTGAACATTAAGGCTACCTTTGACATTTAACGCCTCTGTTTTCCAGTTTGTAGTGGAACTCCATTCACTCCATGGACCCTGAAGGACATATGTACGACAAAATGTGGCTTGAACATCCACAGTATAATTGGTAAGTGGTTGTAGTTCATTGTGGTTTATCAGAATTTGCATTTCTGACACTCTTTCCTTGGAGAAAACTGGATCCTGTTAGGAACAAAATAAAAAAACATCAGAATTTTGTGAGAATTTTTGAGAAATTTCACAGTAATGTTTTTTTCAATCTCACGTCCAAGTTATTGGTTTTTATATTGCTATTACCTTCAACAAGTTTTCGCTCGTTCTTATGCGGACTCTGTATCTGAGGCAGTCGGCGGCAGTGCTGTCATGGCTCCAGGTTATGTTGTAGAATTCCGCTGCGTTTTCAACTTGAACGTTTAAAGGAGGCTTAAGTTTCACTGTGAAAACAAAGCCCCAGGGGAATATTATGAAAATGTGTGCATGCCCAGAAATGGCAGCTGAACATTATTTTTAGCTTTTGTTTTAATTTCGAGTATAAAACAGACAGGTGGGCATTCACCGGCAAACAACAATTCGGGTAAATTGGGAAAGTTGCCAGAATGATTCTTGTAACTTCTGGATTTTCTGAACTCTCAATCTGTGTTGAAAATTGTTTAATGTATGGAGGGTGATCAATAACCAAAATAGGGAACATATTTAACATGCCTTAATTTGTCTTTAACACACATTTTGATGCGACTGAAATGTCACTGGAGGACCAACAGGCTGTTTTCTGTAACAGTTTTGATGACTTTTTTATGTGTTCAGCAGAGATGACAAATAGTGAAATGTCAGACTGAGGAGTTATCAGTTTTACTTACCCACTTCACTCAGGTTCCAGCTGGATGACTCATTTATGAATGAGCTGCCTTCTTCACTGACTGTCGTGCTGCAGACTGTTCCAACTGATGCAACATCAATAAAGGGCTTATCAATTTGACACCAGGACTGAGGCGGTCGGATAACACAGCTGCCATCAACGTCTTCATCTTCACCCCTAAAAAAACAAAACTGACTGTTTTTAATGGTGTCCTGATGATTTGCAGGTGGTTCAGTCATGCGCTAATATTTCTATAAGCAAAATACACCTGAATAAAAACATAAATATTCATTAGCCCATTAACATTTTTTGAAGCCCACTGTTAAATATTTAAAGTGATTTTTAAAAACCCAAACATTTTTTATTTGTATTATCATATATGAAAAAGAAAAGCATCAACTGATCAACTGAGGAGCGCTAAATATTTAATAAATATAATGAATATGAACTAAAGCGATTAAAACTTCAGTGGTGTTGAAACAGTGTCGCCGCCAGGGAGTGCAGTTTGTCTCTCTGGTACATACACTGTATGCTACATACTGTCTCTTTAATGAGACATAAATCTAAAAATGTTTGTTCGTGCCACCTGTTTTCTGTGACATACAGATAACGATTAAAGGCTTACACTTGTTTTAAACCCATCTTGGGCAATCAGTTCACACGGAGACGGCTGTTCGTGCAAGTGTAAACAACCACCAATAGGCTAAGTAAGGGTTGCTTTGTAGACTAAAAGCTAATGTGTCCTGATGTGTCCCCAACGAGACCCCAACAACAAAATACGTCATCAGTGCAGGACGTGGTGGTCCTTCATTGGCATCTCCTGCACCCTATTGCAAGTCACAAATTGCGATGTCAGTGTCACCAGTTGGAGTGGCCTGTAGGGCTACACACACATTAGATGGGAAAACTTTTTTGCATAATTCTCCCTAAGCAAAGTGTGCAGGGGAGATCCTCAACCTTCTAGTTGAAATGACACCAAAAGTCAGGGAATTTTGGACCCAAATGATATAGACACAAGAAAGTTCTGATGTGTCCACTTGTGGTTGGATTGACCAAGAAATATAGTCTAAGATAGCCTATTATTGTTGTATTTAATTCACAAACACTGGTATAAATGCAACACTGGTCGATCAGCTCCTCATGCCAACTATGGCAAACAGATGAAAATCAGTTTATGCACTAAAACTGGACGATTTGACAACACATCTATACCATAAAAAAGTTACTGAAGCTGGTAATGCATAAACCAATCAATCATTTCAAACAAGCCTCCACAAAGTGTTTGCATAAATAGCCACACTGCAACTTTTACCTGCAAATGACACTGATGTTAAGGGGATTCATCGGCACAGAGGCTGCGCACGAACAGTTCAACAACTCATCGTAGTCTGTCCAGCAGGTGACATTGCAAAATGATGTAGATGCTAAAAAAAAACATTAACATTTATTAGTTTTCCAGTTTAACAATATTCTTCAAAATCAAAGCATTTCTTTTTTTGCAGTTTTACTCAGTTTTACTCAATTGAAGAAATTAATTTTAATAAAAAATGTAGCCACAAAAACCACGACAAGACAAACCCACAGCGTACAGTCAGCGCATCCGAAATACAATAAATGGATCAATAACTACAGAAATCAATGAAGTAAGAAAACAAAAAGATTACAAAGAGCTTGCTTACCTCCATGAAGGAAAAGAGCGAGGCACCACAGCAAGAAAAAGAACACATGTTGGGGAGCCATGGGGCCACCCGCTGCTAACAGCTGCATTAAACACAGAAGAATTTAGAAAAAGCTGTGGTTGTGTGGCAGAAAAAAAGTGTTTTAAAAAGATATAAATAAATAGCTTTTTTGTAACTGACTTCTAAACTTGGACAAAGTGAGTAAGTGGCTAAAAATGAATATCCGACGAGATGAGCGTCAGGTTTAGCAAGAACACTACACCGTATACTTTTCTTAACAAATTCTAAATCCAAAAATAATCAAATTAATACTGGATGATCATAATCTTGGCATTTTCAGTTTTTCACTGAGAAAAATAAATTATGATCTTACCGTATTCTAATTAAAACTCCAGCAACTTTACCGGTGAGCGAAGCGTCAGAGTCACAGATGCGCTGATGTCTGTGTGAGAACGCCAAGCGGAACAAAGCTGAGGCTGTCGGGCGTCATAGTCACAAGCGTGACTAAGGATGTGGTTTCAGACTCTTTGAGCAGAGTCAGTGTGGTGCTTCCCACCACTATGAATATGCAACAGACAACTAGAGAGAAAACGTCAACAGGAAACTGAAATTATCATCAAGACAATGCTGCCATATTTGTGTCACCTAATTTTAACAAAAAGCAGGACAAAAATAGATTTTTGAAGACCGAGGGGTGAATCCATTTTAGCATATTTAGAACCCCAGAACATTTTATTCTTTTACCGACTGTCGTAAAATGTTTTACTCTTAGAAGAATATCATATAATAATATAACTTTAATAATGCATCATTTGTTCAAAACATGTTTCATTCCTGTAATAATTTTGACACCTTCCAAAAGACCCCATCACACACCTACTTACCACCTAATAACACTTAATTGGGGCTTTTTTAGAAGATTCCAGCAAACTGCAATACGTCTAGCCATATGAGTCATAATGCTGATGCTGAGCCCCTCGGCACTCGCTTTCAGTAATCAAATTAGCTCTAAATATTTGCAGCTCACCCATTTAATAGCAGCTTTCTCGAGTCGCATTCCAGGTGTAAACAGTTTATTATCTTAAATATAAAAGAGCACAGTATCAAGCTTTATATCAGGGGGGTGTAATCAGATTGACATCACCGTGTGGGTGTGCAGACATGTCTATTTAATGTCATTGTATCAATATTAGTCAAATCCAAATGCCATTTTACCACACAATTACACAAAGCCAAGCATCTGCAGTGTCTTTAACTAGGTTAAAAGACAAAAGTGAAAAAAAATAACAAAGAGTCAGTGGAACAGAGCAAAGCTTAAAATATCACTTCACCCCATGACTTCTTCTAAAGCCTTCAGACGATAATTCTGATTGCTCCAGTGCCGGACAGGACAGGCAAATAAAATAAAAAAAGAAACATGCAAAAGATGTGCAAGGGAAGTCGTGCATAATACAATAAACAATACGTTTGCACAGTCATATATCTTTCTTTATTACTCTGTCTGAAGAGTCTAAAGGTTAGTAAGGGCTAAAGCCAAATTATTAGCAAAATGGAGCTTTGACAAGCAAACCGAGCATTCACTGAAAGCAGCACTGCTCGTCTTCCTCTTCCTCAAGTGCAACTCTCAAACAAAACACTAACCACCATTTAGCGGTTAGACACCTAAATGTAAATAGGAAAAGAAGTGACGATGGCTCCTGTAATTCCTGTGTGGTTTGTCTGTCTGTCCACATGTTTCTCAGCATGATTAGACAAAATCTACCAAGTTTAATCTTATGAAATCATGCAGCTGAGAAAATGGGAGTGAAAACACCGGGCACAAATTTCCAGCTGATGTGCAGCCCTCTTTGCTAACACACAACACGAATAGTATATTTAGACCTTTTACTTATAAAAATTCAGACACAGGACAATCCTGTTGTGTTTTGCACATAGATCGCTTTCTTTATAAATCTAAAAGACAGTTGATTTGTCTTTGCAGTGGGCCTGCTGGCCTTTTAGATTTCCCAGACCTCTGCATTATAGTGAGAAGTGCTTTACGTTTTTGATACAAGAGAAAATCATCAGTATATAGATGTGCCGGGTAGTATCACATTCATATAACAGCTGTGTTGATCTCTAGGCATCTCCACTTCGTTTGTTGTGTTCTGTGCTTTGTTTTGCAGCAGGTAACTGAGCAGCAATATAAAAGCGTCTTCCTTCCTGCAGTGACAGCCAGCCTTCAGATGTTCACCAGCTTAGCAACAGCACGATTCTGTGTTTTAGACACACTCTGCCATGTGTACGTGTACGCTTTACACCACTGACAAATATGTTTTTACAAAGTATCATTTTTGAAGTTACCACTTTATCTGGTCTCGCCTCTTCTTGGGCTGTGACCGAGTGTAACACGAGACACAAGGTTGTTCTTCCTATTTTTGCTCTGTCAGAAAATATACTTTAATTATTATATTTTACCTTGTTGTAAATTTCAAAACCTAAATCCAATAAACTGCTCCGCTGTTCTGTATTGAAAAATGATTGATCAGGAAATGTTTACACGCAGCTGCTGAGGCTTGCACAAACGCTCCATAGTCACTGGAGGGCGCTGTACATGAGCGTCACTTTAAACCCCCCTGCCCCCCCAGGTTTTAATGTGAACTGCTGATTTGACCAACACATTAACTGAGTTCTGGTTCTTCTTTCCTTAGAAACTAGAGAGTATGTGCAAAAAAGCAAAGGCAGTGAATTCAGACTTGTACTGCTTATTTTTAAAATAATTCGACACTTGAAATCTGCTTCTGCTGCGTTTCCCAGCTTTTACGTGGACATTTGCGTTTTTATCGAACAAATATAAAAGGTTCAGCTTATAGCTTATAAAAGGCGTTCAGGAGTCACATTAAAAGAGCCACCATGTTAGTTATCAGAGATGTGAAAATAGTAGCACACAAACCACGGCTGTAAAAGCCAGCGGTTAAATTGCATTTAATCATATTATAACAGTTTAAATACAATAATAATACAATATGTAAAACTGTTTTTCTTTTTGTTTTGTTTTAATGCATGCGTGACTTTACTGGCGGGCCTTTTTTTCGCGCGACACACTCTTACAGTACGCGCAGACCTAATTTTGGATATGGTTCATGTACTCACCGGGGAAGCCCGCAACGATGTTTTCCTCGTTTCGTTTTCACTTTGTGGACTCATGTTGAGACTCGTTTTGTCCCAGCAGTTCTTTCTTTTCGTTGCTTTTTTAATTTTTAAAATTTTGCTCTATAATTTCTCTCTCTCTCCCCCCCCCCATCCCGTCACCACCACCTGACATTCATGTAATTTCACGTAATTACCTGTTGAATGTACTCACCAATTTATTAGCAGCTTTTTTTTTTAAAGAGAACCTCTTGTTTTCAGACACGATATTTGTATCTACCGGGAGACTCTGGGACGTTTTTGACTCCAAACTTTTTTGGAGACTGAGAATCCAAAAAGTGGAAGAGAACCTTTGGTGCACGTACCAGCCCCTTCCTATCAGTTTATCAGTTTACAGACCCTATATGAAATACACAGCGCCCATGTGTGGTCCAGTCTCGTTATAGCAACGACATTCCTTAAAGTTACCAAATTCCACCGTAACAAACGGGCCAAAATAAGTCAGCAACAACTTGACAACCTTTGATTTTATTAGTGAGAGACATTCAGGAGGCTCTGGCATGTCTGGAGACGCATGTAAAATACTCTAGTAAAAGTTAATATTTAATGTCTATTAAACATTTAATTAATATGTCAGTTAAACTAAGTTAATGTGGTGCTGAAGCAAAAATTGATAATATTATACTATATATTAGTCATGATTTGTATTTTTTCTTGCACATGTATTTGGGAGGTAAAGAGGTTCTCAGACCTCACCTCTTGAGATCAGCTTCCTCCTTCTGCTGCACCTTTCCTTTCTAGCTTGCTTCTTACTTTGCAAGTTTTGCACCTCCACGGTGGAACTGCAACACTCTTTGCTGTGTGTACCAATCAGCAATATACTTTTTGTCATTGTGTTATTTTTCCATTTCATGATTCTATCTATAGTAAAAACAAAACAAAACAAAAACACTTTGGTAAAGTGCTGAGCTCAGTCTTAGAGTTGCTGAAGAAAGAAAGTAAAAAAAGATTAAACTAGAAAACTAAGTATGGTTTGGGAATTTTCCCTGTATAAATAAAGATTGATGCCCAGTCATACAGGGAAACTCGTGACATGTCCTTTGTGGCGATGTTATTCCCCTTCTCTGTCCCTTTGTTTTTGGATAGCCCCAAACTTTCATGTGACAAAACTGTTAATAATACACGAGAAGAAGAAGAACATTGCATCTCGGTAGTAGATATGTCTTAAACAATTCACCATCCCATCTGTTAAAATGCTTTTGCTCTTTATGTTTATGTTTATGTTATGTGTGCTCATCATTTGTCCCTGAAAGTGATTACTTACAAATAACCGCATCTACCTTTGCTCGTCCCTTTAAATTTTACTTATGTAAACTTGCAGGTTTATGAAGTTCTTAAAAAATCTTGAAATATTTTTATTTGGAGGTGTTAAAAATATTTTCATGACGATAAATGCGGAACAGTAGTCAGAGAAACTCCTGGAAAGTCTAATCAACTTCATTGTTTCATTAATTTTTTTTCCTGAAGTCTGCAGAGTTCTTATTTTATACATGCACGCATATGCATATATAAATTATAATGTTAATAAGATAGATAATAAAAAAATAGACAGAATAGGTGTTTCAAACTCAAATGTTTCAGACTTTTCCTTTCAGAGCGACCATAAAGCAAAAGTTTCGTGTGACAAGATCTCCGCCTGGAGCAGTAGACAACCTTTTCCACTGGGTGGCAGTATAGACAGTTTTGTTTTATGGGAAGTAAAACCACAAGTAGTTTTACAGCTTTATTTCTTTTTGTGCATACACACAGATAGTAATTAAATTGTTTATTTTAATAGTTTGTGTTTGCTCCAGTGACTAATTACTCAGGTTTTATTCATTTTTCACACAGAATAGTGAAAAGGGATCCAAAACAGAGGAAAAGTGTCTTTTCAGTAACAGGATACTGAAAACAAGACTTACCATCCAACCATTCTCTTCCCCTTAACCTTAACAGGGTTGTAGGGGGGCTGGAGCCTATACCAGCTACCATAGGGCGAGAGGTGGGTACACCCTGAACAGGTCACCAGTCTGTCACAGGGGTAACACAAAGAGACACACAACCATTCACACCTATGTGCAATTTAGATTCACCAGTTAACCTAACCCCACTAATTGCACGTCTTTGGACTGTGGGAGGAAGCTGGAGTACACTGAGAGAACCCACGGAGGCATGGCGGGAACATGGAGACTCCACACAGAAAGACCCTGGCTAGGTGGGAGAGTCCAACTCAGAACCTTCTTGCTGTGAGGGAACAGTGCTAATCAGCACACCGCCGTGCTTATTTTAGTGAATAACAAGAAAAGTTCTTCATGTAGTATTTTTATGGGGGGTGTTTATTTTAATTCAAAACGTTTTAAAAATGAAAACAATCCACAAACTGCTGGTTCCTTCTTTAGTTTGACTTTGAATTGTAATGTTTGTTATTTGTTTCTTTGAGCCCATTGTGTCTTATTTACCACTGCTGCACAAGGTCAAACGTAACCTAACTAAGACACTGTAAATTAAAAGTAGTCTTCACAGTATTTTGAATAAACAAAAGAATACCAGAGACCAAAAAGTGTAAGCTAAGTTATGCCCGTCCACATTCTGTGGCACAAACTTCTCAATGGCAACAAGAAAACCAAAGAAATCATTTAAAAAAGAGTTCAAAAACAGTTACAACATGTATGTTTGTGACCTTTGTCAGTTTTGTCATATCTGAGAGGTGCTCCTGGGGGCACAGTGTGTGTGTGTTGGGGGGTGAGGTTGAGGGGGAGTTTGCTCTTTTTAGTCGAGGTGGCTGAAACAGCACTCCTCAGGTTGAGAAGGCTTTTTATCCCTCTCGAGGGCTGCAGGCTCTCGTTGAGTTGTTCTGTGAAGTGACCCGCACACTAAAGCAAAGTGGTGGAGGTGTCTTTACCGTGAGGGTGGCAAAGGCGGTGGTGCTGTTACATGCTCAGAGGTGGTGGTAATGGTGGGGTGAAGAAGTTGATTGTGTGTGTGTGTGTGCCGGGGGGGTGTTTGGGTTGTAGTGGGCAGAAACGCGGTGTTGCAGCTGTGCGTGTGCTTGTCCATGTCTGAGTGAATAAGGGGAGGAAGGGTCAGCCAGGGAGGGGGGATTCAGGTTCAGAAGTGTTGAAGCATAAAATCTCTCTCTCTCCCTCTCTCTCTCTCTTGCTGGGCCAGACGCAAAGCAACAGCAATTTGTGCGATTTCACAGCTCACCGAATCCCTAAAACTCTGACAGCCTTGTGCTGAGGTGGGGGGGGTAATGAAGGGGTGGGAGGGAGAGATGGAGGGAATGAGGAAAAATGCAGAGATGGACGGATGGAGCGGCAGACGCTACAAACACGCAAGTGACAGTGGAAAGTGAAGATGGACAGATTGGAAGAGAAACAAGCAGCTGACGACTGATCAGAAGGAGAAGAGACAGGCACTCAAGAGATCTGTATATTGCACTTCTAAATTATTCTAGAAGTGTTTCCAACTCCATCTGCTCCCACTTAAAATGACATGCTCACATGATTCAGCGTCACCTTGTTCATGAGCTGAGACACAAAAGCTTTTATTGATGTGAAACATGTTTAATAATAATAATGGATTGCATTTATATAGCGCTTTTCGGGACCCCTCAAAGCGCTTTACAATACCACTATTCATTCACTCTCCCACACTGGTGGAGGCAGCTACAGTTGTAGCCACAGCTTCCCTGGGGCAGACTGACAGAGGCAAGGCTGCCATATCGCGCCATCGGCCCCTCTGGCCATCACCAGTAGGCGGTAGGTGAAGTGTCTTGCCCAAGGACACAACGACCGAGACTGTCTGAGCCGGGGCTCGAACCGACAACCTTCCGATTACAAGACGAACTCCCAACTCTTGAGCCACGATCGTTTAATGTGATGCATGAATGTGATCTCTCCCTGGGGGACATTAACAACATTTTTAAAAGGCAGACTGATTATAGACTACATAACCAGACAGCGAATGATCAAAATGACTGAGTCAATCGTAACCTTGAGAAAAACACATGATTTTGTTCTGACATTGGACAAATGACAGAGAGACTAAAATTTAAAAAATCATTTGGATTCAGGGCAACACGATTTCTGAAGTGCACACTATGTTGTAACTTTATGCAGTGTTGCTCCAACTGCCCGTGTAGCGTGGGTTGTGGTCAATAATAACTTTAGACCAAGCACAGAGGACTGAGACGAGGCTATGGTGGAGGTCCGGACTTTTACTCCATAAGCTCAGAACACATACAATAACACTGCCCCACCTACAGGTGGGAGGTAGTAATAGCTGCTGCCTGTGGTCTGCCAGTTAGGAAGTTGGAGATCCACAGACACATAGATGAGCTGAGTCCCAGATGCTCCAGCTTGGTGGTGAGTGTGGAGGGAATTATGGTGTTAAATGCAGAGCTGTAGTCTATGAAGAGCATTTTAACATAATTCCCCCTTCTAGTGTCCAAGTGAGTGAGTGATGTGTGGAGGAGATGAGAGATGGCATCGTCTGTGGAACGATTTGGACGGTAAGCAAACTGTAGTGGGTCCAGTGTGTCTGGTAGTGAAGAAATGATGAAGTCTCTGACCAGGCGTTTAAAGCACTTCATCACTACTGAGGTGAGGGCTACAGGGCGATAGTCATTGAGAGAAGCAGGGTGGGGTTTCTTCGGGACAGGAACAATGATGGACTCTTTGAAGCATGTGGGGATAACCGACTGAGATAAAGAGATGTTGAATATCTCAGTGAACACAGGAGCTAGCTGGTATGCGCAGTCTCTTAGGATACGACCTGGGATGCCGTCTGGTCCTGCTGCTTTCCTGGTGTTCACTCTCTTGAAGGCTCTCCTTACTTCATGCTCGGAGATGATGAGCACGTTTCCGGTGCTGGCAGTATCTTCCTGTCTGCAGCCGTTAGCGCCGCTAACACTAGCATTGTTGGAGTCCTTAGCTGCAGCCTCGAAGCGAGCATAGAAAGTGTTCAGCTCGTCTGCCAGAGTCACGGCCGCTATTGTCCTTAGTCCCCGCCACAGGCTCCTAGAGTCACTCTGTTGGAGTTGTGACTCTAGTTTCCTCCCGTAGCGCTGCTTCGCCTCTTTCACCGCCCTCCGCACGTTATATGACGCGGCTTTGTACGGGTCCATGTCCCCCGTCGTGAGTCCCGTGTTGTAGGCAGCGGTGCGGGATCTCAGAGCGTCGCGGATGGTTTTATCCACCCACGGCTTCTGGTTGGGAAACGTTGTGATAGTCTTTGTCTCCACGGTATCATCCGCTAGTTTCTCGATGAATCCCACAACCGCTTCCGTAAACACGTTGACATCATCATCGGAGC